AAGCACCAACCTTAGTCATGCATAGAAGGGTAGCTAATCCTCCTATACATGCCTAAGAAGATGCCTACTACACGAGATTAGTTTCCTTGTTTCCCATAATAGTAGTATAAACAATGACTATAGCAACATACATCATAGACGCACACGCATGGAGTAGTTAAACTATCATATGAAACAAAGCATTAATTATCATACACGGGAGATGATTCAAGCATCTAGAATACAATAAAGAATCCAAAGGCATAGGCATTGATGATAGTAACATAAAACAAGATAACCACCTTATTAACTCATAGATAGTAATACACAATCATCATAGCATTCTGATGCAACCCTCAAAGTGTTGGATGTAATCAGAGTAAACTCAGTTTAATCCAATTCAAAGATTGGAGTTGAACTCGGCAGGAACACACAAAAACTTGGCTTGGTTTTGTGTGTTTGATGGAAAGTTTCGTGCAACTTTCACAAGGGAAAGAGGCTCGAAAACTGTAGTTTGATGCTTGGCCACGATCAGGGTGATAAACTGAAGATACAAGCTCACGATTGCTCATAATCCACTAAGCAATCCAATTCAATTCATCAAGCAAACAAGCTAGATGAACCAAAACTCCGAGGTTTGTATTCAATGATCAAAACTGAAGATTACAATGCATATGAAAGGCTTAAATAGGTCCTAACTACGTCTACCAACTCATAATGAAGTTCTAATTACAATACAACTCGAATTGGAACTCAAACCAACAATAAAATGCAATCCGAATGCAACGAGGAAAAGCAAAATGTCTTGGGCTGCAAGTCAAAACTCAGGCATCATACGATCTTTGGGTTCTTTGTTCGAAGCCTTTTAGGGATCAAATCGATCAACCAATTTTTTTTGTCTTTGTAGTTGAAACCTGTAGTTTGATGTGGCACAAAGCTCTGGACTCGACTCTCACCTATTTGTCTCGAATAGACCTTTAAAGTCGGGTTGTCAAACGGTCTCCAACACTTTAGCCATTTTCTGGCAGATTTCCAGTGTTGAGGTAGCATTTTGGGAAGCTTGGGAAATTGCTTTATTCTGATCTTCCAAGCATTCCATCATGTAGATAAACTCTTTATCTTCACTCCCAAGCTTTCCCTTCGAATTTCCATCTAGCCATTTGAGAGAACCAGGCTTGCAAAGTTGGTTACCTGAAACAGTTAAAAGACTTAGCCAAAAATGAATGTTCTTCTTTCCACTTGAGATAGCTTCTTGGTTAAGTAATTCTGAACTGTAGATTGAGCAACTTGTGATTGTATCAAATTCACATTCCTAAACAGTAAACAAATCCACTAGCAATACAAAGTATAGTGGAACAACCTCACATTCCTAAACAGTAAACAGATCCTGCAAACAAGCAACCACGATGACCAGTGGCGGAGCCACATGTAGAGGAGAGGCGTCCTAGGACCCCACTTGAAAAAATATGGGGCAACAAAATTCTTTAGATATGTAAGTTTTAGTACGATCCTTTGTAGTTAGAACCTCATATTTTTGTTGATTTTAGCTCATCTAAGAACATCAATTAACTCAAAGTTCATTAGATACACAGACTAAAACTATTTAAAATTTTTAAGGACCCCAGTCAATTCTAAGTCTGGCTACACCACTGACGATAACCATCGCCCCTCGTGACTTTAATCGCTCTCCTTCTGGAAATTTGCTACTTTTCTGGGTTCAGAGAGCAGGACGAAGGAAGGTGGTGGCGACCAGGATCCATGGTGGCTGGGATGCCAAATCGATGATGGAAGCTCTCGACTATCGCTCCTTCACCTCTCCTCTGCCGCTAGTGCAGGTCCGAAAACGTAGAAAACTTGAAATGATGGTTGCTTCCTATTTCTCGATGGAGAAGGTGTCGATTTGGGGGATGATGACGAGATGTGGATCTGAACGCGCGGAGACTACTGCTGGGTATATGGTTGTGCGCATTGATGTTCAGTTGGTTGGATTGATGCGCCTTCTCTCTCTTCTTTTCTCCGTTGTTTGGGTCCTCACAGGGATCGATGAGCAAATAGAAGTATGATAACATGGTTGGATCGTTAGTGCCAGAGAGGAGAGGAGAGGAGACGAGAGGGTTAGGGGTGTGGGTGAGTACAAAAATTAGGTTTTTTTATTTTAATTGTTTTTTGAGCGACAGAAAAATAAATGAAATTTGAATCTGAAATTCTATGACATACCAACGTTTACTAGATTTTTTGTTAAATATTAACAAGTAATGCAGGTCAAAACTTACGAAAAAATAGTTCAGGGTAAAAATGGAACACAAATGATATTTTTTTAGATAGTTCGTATGTCATAGTCATATTAGCCATAACTACTATAACCAACAAAGCCTCCATCAAAATTTCGGCCAAGCGTACAGAGAAAAAAAAGCGTCAAAGTTCATGCCACCAGTGGCGGACCCAAGGCAAGGGAGGGTGTGTCGTCTGACACACCCTCGCCCAAGAATTTTGTGAAGGACCAACATATTTTCGGTACAAAAATTTTAAGTTCTCGACTTCCGACAACCCTTCAATAATTATAGCCGACACACCTTCATTAGACTGGAAATTTTTTATTATTTAAATGAATCAATCTTAAATTCTAATTAACAAAATTTATTTTTAATTTGTTTAAAATAACTCATAATCATATCAATTGCTATTAAAAAAACCTACAGGCCCTACCAATATACATGTGTGCTGGGATGGGTCCTTTCATTAATGGGGAAACACAAAAATTACCAAAGCCCAAGCGGCAAAAGTTGAGACTCACCAGAATACTTGCTTTTGAAGTTGGTATGACTTTATTTGTTGAAATGCAAGCTGCGAAAGAGCATTTTCGGCTATGAAGATAATCAAGAACGATCTTCGAAATCGGTTGGGTGACAAATTTATGAATGATTGTTGTGGATATTTGAAAAAGATTGGCTTTGTTGCATAAGTGATGAATGTATTTTTAGAGACATTTAAGTAGATGAAAAGTCATTTTGAAGGTCCCGGCGTTCCACACATGGGAGGATATGGTTTCATGGCTGTTGGCAGTGGCGGACCCGGATTGTTGGAGAGGTGTGTCGCCAATAAAAATTAAAAATTATTAGAAATTAATTTATAAAGTTCACAATATCATGTTTACAATAAATCAAAATGACTTTTTTTTTATGAATCGGTGGGATCTTATTCATCAAAAAGGCAATTTGCTAGCAACACCCTTGCTAGCTAAGGAAACAGAACCAACCTGTCACAATCAACAATCAAACACTACCAAAACTACCTCTGAGACAACTATAAACTAATCAAACCAGAAGAGATTCACCCTATCTCTCCCAAGAACATACACCACCTCAGCCTTAATTACAACCAACACTTCATTCAACCCTCTCACCTTACCCCCATACATTCTGCGACACCTTTCTCTCCACATCTGACTGACCCACGATTGCCAGATAAGTCTTCCTGCCTCAGCTTCCTCTGTCTGCTTACCATGCTTCACTACAGCCATGAAACCATATCCTCCCATGTGTTACGCCGGGACCTTCAAAATGACTTTTCATCTACTTAAATGTCTCTAAAAATACATTCATCACTTATGCTACAAAGCCAATCTTTTTCAAATATCCACAACAATCATTCATAAATTTGTCACCCAACCGATTTCGAAGATCGTTCTTGATTATCTTCATAGCCGAAAATGCTCTTTCGCAGCTTGCATTTCAACATATAAAGTCATACCAACTTCAAAAGCAAGTATTCTGGTGAGTCTCGACTTTTGCCCCTTGGGCTTTGGTAATTTTTTTGTTTCTCCATTAATGAAAGGACCCATCCCAGCACACATGTATATTGGTAGGGCCTGTGGGTTTTTTTAATAGCAATTGATATGATTATGAGTTATTTTAAACAAATTAAAATAAATTTTGTTAATTAGAATTTAAGATTGATTCATTTAAATAATAAAAAAATTCCAGTCTAATGAAGGTGTGTCGGCTATAATTATCGAAGGGTTGTCGGAAGTCGAGAACTTAAAATTTTTGTACCGAAAATATGTTGGTCCTTCACAAAATTCTTGGGCGAAGGTGTGTCAGACGACACACCCTCCCTTGCCTTGGGTCCGCCACTGGCTGTTGGGGAAGCATGGTAAGCAGACAGAGGAAGCTGAGGCAGGAAGACTTATCTGGCAATCGTGGGTCAGTCAGATGTGGAGAGAAAGGTGTCGCAGAATGTATGGGGGTAAGGTGAGAGGGTTGAATGAAGTGTTGGTTGTAATTAAGGCTGAGGTTGTGTATGTTCTTGGGAGGGATAGGGTGAATCTCTTCTGGTTTGATTTTTATAGTTGTCTCAGAGGTAGTTTTGGTAGTGTTTGATTGTTACTTGTGACAGGTTGGTTCTATTTCCTTAGCTAGCAAGGGTGTTGCTAGCAAATTGCCTTTTTAATGAATAAGATCCCACTGTTTATAAATAAATAAATAAAAAAAAAACATTTTGATTTATTGTAAACATGACATTGTGAACTTTATAAATTAATTTCTAATAATTTTTATTTTAATTTTTAATTTTGTATCGGCGACACACCTCTCCAACAATCCGGGTCCGCCACTGCATGCCACTGTGCCACTGAAATAAATAATGGAAAATAAAACTGTTAAGCAATCCGCAGCGCAGCCTTCAGGTAGTGTCGTGCTGTGCTACATCAACGAATTAATGCAGCATCTGGGGACCTGATTTATGACTTGGTCATGGTCAAAACAATTCTTTACAGCCAAAGTTCCTTCCATGTTCATGAATGGTCGTGGCATGATTATCAGAAAAATGTTATCTATGGTTAGTGATGAACTATGTTCTCATGCAGTGCAGGTGTAACGAAGAACTACTTTCTAATTATTTATCTGAGCATCTCCCATCGCCGTTAAAGCGAGAGTCGCCTCGCCCTGCTTTTTCTCCCGCATGGTACGTGCAACATGTACTTTGCTGTGCTTTCTCCTCTGCCTCTGTCACTACTTGAGTTATCAAATACCATAGAGTGGTAGGATGATTTTGACGAATGAGTACGCTAGTGCACCTGTAAATATGTAGCTATCCACTCTGTCAAGGATCCCCCCTGCAATTAGTTTGCCAGAAAGCACACATTTTAGCGTAAGGCGTTCAGAAAGGGCAGTAGACAAGAGAACTTTCGGCTATTCATATAGGCGTGCTGTTGTTCAACCCCTGTTTAGAGGCAAAGCAACATACCAAGGGCTAACCCAGTTCCCTAACATGTTAAGTTCGACAATAAGCATCTTTACTAAAACAGACTTGTTAAGCTCAATGTCTCTTCTTTTCAACATTTACCAACTAGTTTGTGACATTAATAGTTTCACTGGACCTATGTGTTCGAAATATAAACAGGGCTCGAGGCAAAATTTAAAGATATCACATTCTCTTCAGTTTTAAAGAACCAGCCCTCTATGGATAGGACTGTCATGGTAAAAAGATGAAAAGTACGGAGGATGATCTCCTCCAGCATAGAAGAATCAAAAGATAATATGAGAGAAACAAATGTCGCGAGAACTTCATTACCATGTCCTGGAATCAGAGAGCCAGAGTCCTTGACACCAGCATCACGTTTGATCATTGACTCTATAAGGTCACCAAATACGGACCCCAAAAAGTTCAGGACCCCAAATGCAATGGCACTGAAACCATTCAATAAGGATTACTTCAGTTGATTTCCATATGATGACCAACACCAATGATACAACAAGTTAAGTGGGTGTGTGAGACACTGTGCTGCAACATGATGGACAGGAAATAGAACTTTCAAAAATTACTCAAGATCTAGCACCTCAGTGAAGATGTTGGCCAGGAAAATATCTTTGAAAGTATAACAGTAGTTGTTACACAACCCCCTAGGCCCCACAAAGTTCCTTCCCATGTCTTCTTAGGACTAATACTTGTCAATGGTGTCCTGCCAAATGCCTGAAACAGAATAAAAATAACTTATCTTATGGTGTAATGATGTTATAGTGCAGCCAAGCCACTGAGGGGGAAAACAAAGTAGATTACTAAAGGAAATGGAGAGGGAAAATTTTCAGAACCGGGAAAGCAGCATGTATTGAAAACAGGGTGAAAGAGTTCTTGAAGAGATGAAATGACGAGTGTTTCCAATGAAAAAGATATAACTAACAAGAACCTAGTCAAATATGATCTTTCATCTTTTGAGGTGGTGGAGTTCTTCGGCCAAGATAAAAGAAACTGAATCAAGTATTTTCCCCATATTGGACCTTTCTACTCCAGAGAAACAAGTGAGCCTTGGGTGTTCAATTTTCTCAGCTAATTGTACTCCAAATTTGTATCACAAAATATGCAACAACCTTCTATCCATAATTACAGACAAATGATCCATCACACCCAATGGCATAAAGTTAACAATTCATTCACATATTAAGATTGAAGGATTCACATAACCTGAAAATCAAGGGAAAACTGTTAGGTTCTACCGTTTAGAGAAAAGCCTGAATACCTTGCCACCCATAAAAGCATATGTATCAGCTGCTATGATGCTGCTAATTGAAATCAAGGTTGCCACAAGGCCCACAGTCCAATGAGCCTGTCCACCTAGCAAAACAGGCCAGGCTGCACCTAATGCTGCCAACAGATTAGGTTGTAGAATTAGATAAACACAGCAGGAAGCTGCAGGGGGAAATGCATGACAATATCAAAGAAAGCAGACTCCATGGAGCTATGAGTCACTGATGAACAACGTTAGATGCATGTTGTCAAAAATATGAACTACACTCGAGGCTGTGATTAATAGATAATCTCATGTGCATCAGTCACCAATATAGTTCGAATGGTGGTTATCAGACCAAGAACTGAGAGAATCAGTACTAACTATAGGGAGGCATAGCAAAACCTATAGCTTATATAGTATAATATACCAAGATAGCAATAGTGACATCCATGAGCAACCAGCACAGTTTCTTACCAGTATTCAATGCCGGGGCTGCTAAAACACATCGAAGCTTGACCCAGAAACAAGGCAGATAGCCACAATAAAACAAGCCAAATATTGCACTGCTAAGCTGAGCAAACCGAGGATTTCCTCTCTGAAGAAGCAATGCGATGGCAACAACGAAAGCAGAAAAGGTAACTGGAATGTCAATCTGACCAAGATACCTGCTCATCAACCAAACAACAAGAAATTAATAGAGAAATCTATCAAGAAGCCATCATGAGTATTAAAATCATTGTTCAAATAAAATTTCAAGAACAATAAAGCGTGATAGTCGGCCATTGATCTTACAATGTGAAGATTGGCATAAGAGCGCAAATGACAGAGCAAACTCGTGACACATATCGAGGAGGCGGGGTCATTCCAGCAGTTATTCCATGACTCCTAACCAATTCAAAGTACTCCCGGGAACCAACAAATACAGTAGTTGCCAAGGCCACAGTGAAGACCCATCCTCCAGCCAATACCACACCTCCGCAACCAAACCCAATTGCGAATCCAAAACCAATTCTTTTCCTCAGTTGACTTGCCTTGTTCTGAAGCTTATAAGCATTATCCTCTATTGCAGGCAAGTTATGGCCTTTGTCAATTTCCTATGGGAGACAATTCATTTCAGCAGGATGGCATTCAACGATTGAATCCATGGAACACAAGGATTAGTGGGAAATGAAAATCAGCAAACAAACAAATACTAAATGCATCCGCTGAACTACATTTACCATGGTTTCAGAAGGCACTGGAATTCTTCTCATATACACCACCGTCACTCCCAAGTTAAACCTTGCGTGTTATAAGGGCGGTGGTTCTCCCAATCAACCGTTCATACAATGGGATTTTCATATAGATCCAACACAAACACGACAGCCAACAGACAGGAAAATCAGTCGAACATGCAGTCGGGATCACATTCTCCTACTCTTACTGTTCCCTGACACAGTTTTAGATTCTCTAATTTTTCACGAATGGACGCTAGTCGAAATGAGATTCATTCTCGATCGAAACCCAAACGCGGGACCTACCCCCAATATAAGCAAGCGAACAGCAAAGTCAAACTCACCACTTTATGCCCGTCGTCAAATCTGTCTGCCTCCACTCTGGCCGCGGCGGCAGTAACCGCGTTCCGCTTGGCCAAAATGCAGCTCCCGCGAAGAACATGAAAAGCCGGCTTGTAGCAGTTCAAGACTATCTCAGGATCAACTTTTGAAAACCGTCTACTGATAATTAGGGCGTTCTGGGACACAGGGAGCCGCGGCCGCTCACCGAGCAAGGATACAGACAGTGGTCTCAAATTGTAACGATCGATTTCAACGACCGAAGCCATGGAATTCAACGACCGAACTGAAATTAAACCAATACAATTACCTGGCGAGCATTGTTCATCAAGGTTTAGGGATTATCGCGCTGAAAACGAGAATGGTTGGTGAAGCGACGGAAATGGCGAAGAAGCTTTGTAGAGATATAGCGGTGGAGGACTGGAGGAGAGCTGTTAAGAATCAAAGTCAAGATAGTTGATTGGGTTTTTGTTTGGTTGCGCCTCTCCGGAAAAAAATATAAAAATACACGGGTTGTTAAAAAATCCCCAAAATACGTTACCTTATCAAAAATTCTCAAAATATACATATTTGTGATTGTCGTCTAAAAACATCCACATCAATAAAATTGTAAAACAAATTTCATATTATTTTTATATTTTCATTTACAATCGAACTCACTTTTATTTCATTGCTCTTGCATCAATGCAATTCACTTGCAATTGCATATATGAGAGTTGACTTTATAATTATAAAATAAATAAATTAAGAGAGAGAAATATATTTTTATTTTTCCCATGTGACTTGCACTTTAAATTTCATTTAACGCAAGCTTGCATATTTGCAATTGCCTACTACATTGATGCAATCCCCTTTACCATTGCATATTGAATGCCATGTAGGATTTGCAATTGAGCAAATACCATTGATGTGGATGCTCTAAGGCAGTGAATATAATCACCCCAGAAGACAAGAACGGTGAAGTAATCACCGCTGTAAACAAAAACGGTGATGCTCGCAGGGAACGAATCACCGCTTTAAGCAACAACGATGAAGGCATCACCGTTTTAGTAAAACGCGGTGAAGGGGTCAGCTACGCGGATCGCTGACGTGGATGACCGCGGGGCATTCACTGCCGTAGACAAAAGCGAGAAATGTCATGTTGTCCATGTCAGCGATCCGCGGCGCTCCGCCCTTTCAGAAAGATTCGATTGTACAGCGAAGGCAAACCAAGTACATCACCCATTCGCACTGCTGCCGTCGGATGCAATGAGGTGCGGATTCTGTTCTTCCTCCCAGATCCGACGCCTCACAGCCTCCCAGACAGCTATCTTGGTCATTCACCGCGTTCGAAAAAGGCAGGGTCTTCCATGCGTTAAACAAACGTGGTGATGTCCCTGCATCAATTTTCATTTTCCAACGGTCCCATTCCCCTATAAATATCACCCTTCCCCTCAATTCCAAAACACAACACCACACTTATCTTCTTTCTCCCTCCATTACTCCACTCTAGTTTCATTCTAAGTATGCTCTGTGGTTGCAGCTAGGTTCGATCTTCCAGATCAAAAAGAATTACTAGAGTTATACCCTAAAGCCCTCCCCTCTAAAAACTCGTTGAACGTCTGTCCGGCTGCAGCCAAAAAATGGATGAAGAGGCTCTTCGGGTAAGTTCTTGGTTTTCCTTTTGTGATTTATTTTTTTTAATCGAAACAATTTTATTTCATTAAAAAAAATTATAGATGGGTGCCAAGATATACGATCCTCGATTGTATATCCATTATGGACCGAGAGATACGAAGTATTTATCAGAGCAAGAAACACATCGCTCACGTACAATTTGACACAACAATCCGGTAAACACTATGTACCTTATAATTTTTTACATTATTTTATTATTTAAAAGATTTTATTTTGCTTTCCTTTTACTAACAATTTAGGGACCACTAACTTGCATGCTTGGCATGATCGACTGTCGACGTAACTAGAGAGGACGGGGTTGGGTATGTTGAGGCATTTCATGCGAATTGAGATCGACAACGATCTTCTTACGACAATGGCAGAGCGATGACGCCCCGAAGCCCATACGTTCCACCTTCCGGAGGGGGAAATTACGATCACCCTCAAAGACGTTGTGATCCTCACCGGGCTGCCGATCACTGAAGAGGCCATCATCGGTCACTCTACCAAACCTGTTGCAGGCTGGGGGCCGCTGATTCTTAACCGTTAGGGCTTCGACATGTCGCCCACCACTCCAGTCTAAGGACAAGGGCATCCACCGTTGAATGCGGGACAAAGTATTGATCCCGTGGCTCGTTGTTCACATCCAAAATGAGGTTGAAATCGGCCCGAACACCCCCGAAAGATCAAGTAGAGTAGTATGCACGCAACTACCTCATTGGTTTGGTTGGTGGATTTCTGTTCCCCAACAAGGCAAACAGGTGGATTCAAGGCATGTGGTTGCCATTGCTACTCGGTGACTGGGACCACCTTCGTGAGCATAAAGCGGAGTTTTCCTTGAGAGGCTCACCTCCACTTCCAATCATACCACTCGAGTCCATTTCTTTCACAACATCATAATTAACCTTAGGATCAATTGAAAGAGTGAGTTGCTCCTCTCCATCTCTCAAAACCAGAGTTCCCTCATTAACATCGATTAAGGCCTTGTTGGTGGCAAGAGAGGGTTTGTTGTAGCATGAGTGGCATATCTGCATCTTCACTGATATCAAGGATAACAAAATCCGTCAGATGAAAGAAATTTCCAACTCTCACTAGGACGTCCTCCCAATACCCCTAGGACTAATGACAGAACGATCGGCCAATGTGACACTAAGCCTAGTGGTCTTTAATTCACCCAAATGCAACATCCTAAAAAGCTTATAAGGCATCACATTAATACTTGCTCCTAAGTTCGCCAATGAGTTTTCTCTATGATGATTTCCGATGCAAAGAGGAATAGTAAAACTACCTGGATCCGGTTGCGTTTTAGGCAACTTGTTGAGGATAAAGGTGGAACACTCCTCGCCTAAGGTGACATTGGCGAGGTCATCATATTTTAGCTTCTTGGCGAGAAGCCCCTTAAGGTATTTGGCATAACTCGGCAAGTGCACTATGGCCTCCAAGAATGGAATGGTGATGCGGAGCTTCTTGAGCATCTCCATGAATCAAGCACATTCCGCCCCCAATCGGTCCTTGAGCATCCTTGTGGGGAAAGGAAGAGGAGGCTTGTACTCAGCCACTTGTGGTGGCATCGCCAATGCCTTCTTAGGCTCTTCTTCTGTTGCTCCCACTTCTTCTTGATCATTGGCCGTTAGAGTAGTCTTCTCTTCTTCAGTCACAGTGACTTCCTTAGGAACAACCTCCGGGGTAACCTTCTCACTCCTAAAAAGAATAGCATTGCAACCGACATTTTGATCTTTGGGGTTGACAATAGTTTGAGAGGGTAGGGCTCCCCTTGGTCTCTCAATGAGTATCTCTCCGAGATTACCAATTTGCACCTCCAAGTTTTGAAAGAATGCTTGATGGCTCCTTAATCCCGCCTCAACCAAAGTAAACTTTGTTGTTGCCACATCCATAAACTGCTCAATCTTCTCAAACTTCTGAGTGCTCTTGCTCGCGAAGGTGGTCACAAGGTCTTCAAGTTTTGCAAACTTATCAGGTTGTTGGAACCCTTGACCACCTTGAGCTTGAAACGGTTGTTGAAAGTTAGAGCCTTGGAATTGCGGCCTTTGTTGAATGAAAGTATGCCTTGGTTGATAATTTCCCCTCGGTCCTTGGAAACCAGGGGGTCTTGGGTTGGTAGTAGAAGACCAAGAGAAATTGGGTGATTTTGCCAACCCGGGTTGTAAGTGTTGCTATAGGGGTTGTTTTCTCTAGCATTGACAATGAAACTCACTTGCTCATCGGGGGTGCTTGATTCCTTCGTCATTTGACACTCCGAAATCTCGTTGTTGCTACTCGAACACCAATCACACGCCATTACCGGCCTCTTCCCATGCTTCTTGTCCTCTAGGAGTGCATCAATCAACCGATCAGTCTTAGCTTCAAGCGGGGGACTCGCTCCTACACTTTGCACTCCTCTTGCGGTGCTTCTCTTTCCACTTCTTGTCAAACTCCAATCATAACCTTTACTTGTCATGTCTTCAAGCAACTCGATCACTTGGGGTGGAGTCATGTTTATCAATTTCCCTTGACATAAGGAATCAATAAGGATCTTGTCATCTTGGTGGAGACCGCTATAGAAGGTCTCAATCCAGAATTTCTCTTTGAATCTATGATGTGGGCATTGGAGGAAGAAGTCAGAGTACCTTTCCCAAGCATCCCCCAATGTCTCATCTTCCTCTTGCTCAAATTGGGTGATCTTCTTGCGCCACTCTGTTGTCTTTGAAGGTGGGTTATACTGAGTTATAACTTGTTGAGCATGTCATCCCACGAGGTGATCGAGAGAGCCGATTTATTGTTGAGCCACTGAGACGCATTCCCTGCAAGAGAGTAGGGGAATTGCCTCAAATTCAAAGCATCCTCGGGAACACCATTGATCTTCAAACTCCCTACAAGTTCGATGAACTTCTGAACATGCTCACTTGGAGACTCATTGCTAAGCCCATGAAACAGGGCATTGTTTTGGATCATAGTTACAAGGGCGGGTTTTATCTCGAAATTGTTGGCTGCCATGGGCGGATATCGAATGGCGGGTTGAATATTTGCCGCCCGCGAGGCCATATAATAGCCCATGGTCCTTGGTTGCTCCTCCGCGGCCGCTCCACCTGGAGCGGGTTGATTAGCCGCCATATCAACTTCATTTCCTTCCTCTTCTGAATCAAACCCTTCCTCAACTACAACTTCCTCTTCTATCCTCCTTCTTGTCTCCGCCAATTCCCTCTCACGAGCCAAGAGTCGGAGAGTACGGTTGAGATTCTCGTCCAGTGGCGCCAAAGGTGTCGGGTTACTCCGAGTCATACACCTCTCGGAACACACTCAAGAGAACCACAACTCGTCTAACACAAGCAAGATTCACAAACACAAACACAAAAACGAAAAGTAAAAGCTAGATTAACACCAAACAATCTTTTCAAAATAATGAACCGTTTGCTCCCCGGCAACGGCGCCAATAACTTGTCTCGTCCCGAATATCATAATAAAACTCTCAATTAAGGTCCAAGTATAAACCTCAATTGGGTGCAATACATGGCAAGTATGTTTAAATGTCAACCCGGGTCGGTTCATGTACCCCTACTTCGATTATTTGTAACATTATCTAGCGATTGTTTTTTTTTTGTTGAAAACAACGATCTATAGCTAAAACGTTTGGAAAAGTATATGGATTTGACACTAATTGAGAAGGCTTCACCCTGGTGTTGCTCCCCCTAGCTAGAAATTTTGACTTTTCGGATCGAATGGACACGTGTGGTAAGGTGGTTGTAAATCATAGGAAAGTGCAACAAGTGGCCAAACGCCACTCTCTCGGTCTCTAGGTCAAGGGAATTCGATTCAAGACACCAAAGTAGCTCTCTTGACCTATTGACTAAAGGTTGCCAAGAGTCCAAGACTTCACCCTCGAATCCGAGTTCGGACGGCCAAATTACAACCAGCTTTACAAGAGACAAGATTTTCCTAAGAAAACCCAGCTTTACAAGCCTCTTTCAAATAAATGGGTGTTTCTCTCTATCTATGTTAGAATGGCAAATATATTGATAGGGAAACACACAACATAATCTTTCATGAAAATACCTCCAAATTCACATTAAAACATATCCACACACAAATCATTCATCAATACAAACATTCACATAATTGTAGCTAGGGTTCACAAACACTCAAGTGAAATAAGAGACTACTACATGCTAGGAGAAGGGAAAACACAAGAGAGAAGAAGGAAAACCACCTTGGAGATGCTAGACTTGCTCTTTGTGCTGAAGAGATCCTCCTTTGGGAAAGGAATTCCCAAATCCTTGCTTGAAGATGAAACTCTAGCTTCTTCTCTTCTTTGGTTCGTCACTTTCTCACTCTAGAAATCTGAAGAAGAAGAAGAAGAAGAAGAAGAAGAAGAAGAAGTTTCTCACACTATGTCTCCCCCCTTTTCTCCTTCTGCTCAAACCCCCTTTTATAACCAGGTCGAGCTCACATTACGGTCCCAGTTCACGACCATGAACTCAAGGCGTGGAGCGTGTTCTCAGGCCAAAACGTGTCGTCTCAATAATCTAGTACACTGTCTGCGGCTGGGGTTCACAGTTACGACCGTGAACTGGCTTGAGTCCAGTGAAAGCAAAAATGTCCCTGGACGCCTTCATGTTCACGATCGCCATGACCATGAACTACTGGCTTCCACCGTGATCTACGACTGCCTCCATCCTTTGACCCGATTTTTCGCCTTTTCGTCCAACTTTTGACTCCGAGGTTGGTTCCACCTGCTATAAACTGAAATACACAAAATTGAGACAAAACCCAGCGTAAAACCAAACCTCCCGGAGTAAAAATGCCTCAAACAATTAAGAAAACCGGGGGGGGGGGGGGGGGGGGGGGGGGGGGGGGGGGGAGGGGGGTAAAAAGTGTACAATTGAGCCTGAATCAAAAATAGTAAAGGTAATGTACATATTTATAACACTAATCCCACAAATCCTTTCCTCTCTAGACAAAGTAACTCAATCCCAAAACAATAAGGTAAATAATAATTTACTAGACAAGACACAATTACTAGTACTAATCCTAAACATAAACCAATAAGAATATCAAAATTAACCAAATATTCCAATAACTAATAAACACCTAATATTACTAATAATAATAATCAGTCACGTGGGCTAAGGATGCTTTAATGCATCAACCATTTGCTTACATGGCTGGTTACTAATGAGTTTTGACAGAATTACGACCCTAAGCTGCTTAGTTGGGACAGTCATGCGTATGCTTCTTGGTATTTCTGCTCAACCGGTAGTGGGACAAAGGACCATTGGTTCTTTTGCTACTCATTTACGAGGAAACTTGCACACAGGGGAGATGCTCGGTGTTGGCTGGGTGGCTTTGCTTGGATATGGTTGGTGCTGCTATTGTTTTTGCACGCAAGGGAGATGTCAGTATTTGTCCAGTGGCTTTGCTTGGGCATGGTTGGAGGGGACAGTCTGGGTCGACTAGATTTTGGATGTCCTTGTTGCAACTTGGAGACTTTGCAAGACCATGTTTAACAAGTGACTTGGGTGTGCGTTTTTCTATGCCCTATTTGATTCAACTTCAGGTCAGGTGTGCTATTAGAAACTCAGTTCTTGTGGGTTTCTTTTATTATTTTTAGTACGATAATTATTATTATTATTATTATGGTTAGTAGAGATTTAGTCCAATTAGGTTATTTGTTAATGTTTACCTGTATTTCCTATAAATATGTAATCTGCGTTCATTATGAATCAAGCAACAACAATTATTCAAAAAGTATCTCCTAAAACCCTAATCTTCTATCCTCTAATTTCTCGATCTCAATCCCTCTAAAGCTTTGGCCGATTCTATCTTTTTATTCTTCTTCTTCCCCAAATTCCCAAAGTCAATCCCTCTTTCTATCTTCTAATTCCTAAATCCCCAATTCTCTTCTATAGTCCCTAAAATCCCAAAGGTCGATTCAATCCGCAAACCCGTTAGAAACTATGTTTCTAACAATTGGGTATTAGAGCTCCGATTATGAATCTGGGTTCATCACAACTCTCAACCGGGGACGAGTTCTATTACCTTTTCAGAAAGATGTAGCAGAGGATTGATGCTTTCAATGAAAAACAAGAGGCCTACCAGCAGCAGTTGGAGGCAAAACTTCAAGCTATACGTGACAGCTTGCAAGTCCATGTAAGTCAGAAGTCGTATCCGTCAATGCCAAGGCGAGAAGGGCGGAGAGGAGGTCAACACCGGTCTGCGTCACGAATTGGCGATTTCGGAAGAAATAGAAACTGTGAACTAGCGTGTCAACCACCACCACCACCTCATCGGCGTCATTACCCCGTCGCGGTCAGGATCGAAGACCAAGAAGTCTCGTGACAAGTGGCCACAGCGACGAGGAGGTCTGGAGTCATCTTGAAGCCTTCCGGTGGTTGTCTCGTCGTTGGAAGAAGAGATGGTGGAAGACTCGCCGTCAGAGCCGTTCGCGGCGACACCGTTGGAAAGAGAAAAGAGGAAGTCGACGGGAGGCGGACTCGGCAAGGCGGATCCAAGGACGAGGGTGGCGAAGTCGAGTTGTCTCTTCGTCGCTTGAAAAGACCATCGACATCGGAGAATGAGAACGGGGCGACGCCATCGATCAGGAGAGTGGTGATGGTCTGGACCCCGAGAAAGGAGAAGACCTCGGCGGAGAGCGAGACGCTACCTAAGTCGCGGCTGATGAAGGTGGCCTCAGTGGTGGTGTCGATCGACGCTAGGACGTTGCTGAAACCCGGCGTGGCTCCTAGTCGTCGGGTGGTCTGCTTGTCGCCGGAGACACGAAGGTTGCGAAAGGGCCAATCGTCGGAGAAGAAGGCGAGCACGGCGGCGCGGGGATCGCCACCCATTTGCCTGGTGGTCTGTCCACCACCGAGGAAGAAGATGACGAGCAGGGAGATGAGGGAGCGCGGCGCCCCTCTGCCCCTCGCAAACCCTAGGGCGCGGGACGTGGATCCGCGTCGCACAACAGCTGGGCGGCCGTTGGGCCGTGTAGAATTGGGTTGCAAATGGAGAATTTCTGGATCCTCTTGAGTAAAGCCACCACATCCGTATCCAACTTTCCCGGCAAAAGAAAAAGAAAATGGCAAGAAACCATACCCAGCAGTCATACACAAGAACAATTATGGTTAGTAAAGATTTAGTCCAATTAGGTTATTTGTTAGGGTTTACCGGTATTTCCTATAAATATGTAATCTGCGTTTCATTATGAATAAAGCAAGAACAATTATTCAGAAAGTATCTCCCAAAACCTTAATACTCTATCCTCTAATTTCTCGATCTCAATCCCTCTAAAGCTTCGACCGATTCTATCTTTCTATTCTTTTTCTTCCCCAAATTCCCAATCTCAATCCCTATTTCTATTTTCTAATTCCTAAATCCCCAATTCTCTTCTATAACCCCTATAATCCCAAATGTCGATTCAATCCGCAAACTCGTTAAACTATGTTTCTAACATGTGCTTAATAGAGAATCCAACTACATATCAAAATTCCAAAAATTGATCCAACTACGATAACTTTGGCCTTGGGAATTACAGAACTTAGCAGTCTCCTTATGTTTGTTTAACCATTCAAAAGTAATTACATAAGTTCCTCATTACCAGTCACACATTTACATAGTCCTCCTCCTCCTCCTCCTGGTCAACACAAAACAGTCCAACCTATCTGATGCATGTTTGAAATGCTACCACTCTTGACTGTTTTCTTTTTTATTCCAGCAAGAGGATCAAAGAGGAATATTTGCGAGTGATCTCTCCAACTCATGCCCTTTTCAAAACATACCCTAAAATTAGGCCTACAAGGGCTACAAGAATCACATATGTAACTGGGATGCCTCCACGATTTCTGCTAGTTTGTTGCCTCAGTAGCTCCTGCAAACAACCATTAAGACTTTATTTGATCAAATCCTCCACTACTCTAACCCACAATGTATAGGTCAGACTACGATGTGAAGTAATATAACCCATAAACGGATCCTTCAGATGAGTATGATTTATGGACAGTATATATGTGTAAGCATGCATATACATATATGTGCCCTTTTCAGTTTAAAGTTTGCAGAGTAAAATAGAAGACTAGCGTATTACCAGTTCTCTCATTAGCTGCCTATTTTCCTTGGTAAGAGAATCTTTCTCATTGGTTAGCTTGGAGATACGAGCATTTCCCTGAAATGTGAGAGACAATAAGCCCTTGAATCCACGTAATAAAGAATTCTGAAGATGATAACCGCACAAATATGAGAATCAAAGTAAATAAGGAAACCAATTCTTAGAGGCAATCGAAAACACACCTCTGAGGAGTTATCCCGAGGCTCAAGTCTCTGAGCAAACTCGGTTCTAGAAACCTAATGCAGCGGAGTACAAGTATCATAGGTCCATCAACGAAAGGTGAGAGTTCAAAATATAAGCCAAATCAATTGGACAAGGCAGTAATCACCACTTACCATTGATTGCTCGGGCATTTGCACACTTCCGCTGTCAGACAGAGACACCCTAGGCTCTTCACCTTCCTCGGACCCTTCATGAACTGGGGATGGTGGTCCCGGAGGAGCAACATAGACAACCCTCAACTTGCTCTCTTCCACAAGATGCCCTGCCTCCTTATTGAACTAAAACCACAAGAAGGTGACCCTATTGGTGTAGGGCATAGAGGAAACCCCAGGACTCGGGCGGTGAAAAGAATAATAACGCTGATTATGCTTTCATTAGTTACCATCTCTGCAGATACATCCTTTGCTGTAGCCCCAGGACTTGCCACAACACTCTGTAATAGGAACTTGTCCTTGCACTGCAATTCAAGAGGCATCTCCCTTTGTGCTTGCATTGTAACTATTGAAGCAAAACAACAATTTCAATGGTAGCAACCAACAGCTGGGGAGGGAAACTCAAACTCAGAGACTGCTAAATACATTGTAGAGAAAAAAGAGAAAGTACCTATAACATCACAAGCAGACCGAGGCGGCACAATCCCAGTATTAGGCCTCACACAGTACTTCTTGGGATTCGTTGTCTTGACCTAAAAGTAATACATAATACAATCAAATAAAAATTCACAAGACCGCCTGGAGCGCACAAGATACTCATCTCGCCAAGCCAAATAATCGATGAAGCTACAAAGACCTAAGTGAGAATTGAAGCAAAAAACAGCTCGAATACCTTGAAAGCGACATAGCTGTCGGTCTTGTTCGATAGCTGCAGCGAACTGGAGATCTGCTTCTTCAATTCAACTGGCGAACAACAAACCAGAAACTGAAAGTTAAGACTTCAATGGAGGAGAAAGACGTAGCTTCACGGTAAAAAGCGGACGAAGCAGAGCGAAATGGCTCAGCGACGGAATTGAGAGCGAAAGCTTTTACATGGGAACTGCAGATCTTGAGGTTCGATACTGAGAAGGCCGCCGGTGCTCATACTGAGACGATCGGTAAGTGACTCGTCTCCGGCGGATACAGAAGCACGAGAGGAAATTTCACCGGAGAAGGGAGGGAGAGAGAACAGCGGGCGGAATGGGGAGGTGTGGGCTAAAGACAAGGAGAGGAAGCTGGAGATGGTAACAGTGTCTCTCTAAATACTAGCCAAAACCATTGTTATAAGGAGTGAACCGGATCTAACGGTTGGATCAGTAAAACTGTCTAACTAGTTACGATAACGATCTGTCTCTCTGAATACTAGTCAAAAGTTCAAAACACAATCAAGAACGTGAGACAAAGTTTTTAGATGGATAAGATTAGAAGGAATTTTACAACGCTATAGCATTGGTGATATAGATTTTTGTCTTTATGGTACAACTTCAGATTGTAGCTTGAAGATCTTCCTTAGAAGATGAGTATTGAAGATCTTTGAGCCTATTGTATTCTCTCTCTGATTTCTCTCTATGAACTAGCTTCCTTCACTTAGGTTGATGAACCCTAGTTCTGGAATTTGGTTTGATTGTTGATGTATGTGATAATTCCTATGTTCGATTACTCATATTATCTAGTTGATTGATGTTTATGAATTATGATGTCAACTGAGCTATTGACCCAGTAGAGAGAATATTTCATTAGGTTGAATAGAATACCTACAATCATTCAATATGGGTCGTTGAACGAGTGTGATAGGAGCGATATTTTCGTAAGGGGTTTTGCCCATTCGAGAAAGTTAGTGGTGAACACCCCAATTGCCTAGGTCGGTTGTTTGGTACGCCTCTCTAGGTTGTCAATCGAGCGAGTTTGGATACCTCGAATAGGGGGTCCAATCTAGTTTAGAATTCTCTACTGTAGAAGTATCGAGTCCATTAATCTAGGATAGTACTCGTCATCGGCCAAATGACGGAATTAGGGGGATTCATACTTAAGTGAGCTCCCACGTAGTGGTTCAAGTAGCTTAGTTAGCTAGTATTAATCACTATTCTTGTTTAGCTAGATAGCATACCTAAGTTGAAGTAACAACAAACCTAGAGACTCATGGATTCGATAATGGTATTATTTTAATTACCTTATGCTACACTCGGTCATCGATTATGCTTGACCTTCGATTGGGAAGTTGTGGTTAGTGCGAGTCAAGTTCTCGGCACCGTTGCCGGGGATCACTCTAGGTTATCATGAAAATGCCTTGGTTTGTTAGTTTAGATGTTTTTGTTTAGTGTTTTTTTTTTTTTTTTGCTTTGTTGACTCACTCTTCGTTCCGAATGGTGGTTTGTGTATGTTTGATCTTTTTTTTAGTGTTTCTGGTGTTTGAAGGTTGAGTCATGGATCCCAATGGTTTATCGAACATGTGGGGGTATCCACCAACACCCGAATGGAGGTACCCAAAACTTCATTGAGTAATCAAGAGGGATGAAGTCAAAGAACTGGGTTTTATGATCAACCTCACTTCTATGAAGAACAACCATACCCATTGGGATTTCAAGAATCCTCCCTATACGGAGAAGACTTCCTCCCACAACTCGAAGTGAAATCCAAATTGGAGCTAACTATGGAAAACTTCATGGCAAGCAACTCATTGGAGCATGTCATGGAGCATGTCATGGAGCACGTTGAAAGAACTTACTCTAACATGGATTTTAACCCCTTCCTTCTCCCGATTTGAAAATACAAAATAAGGTTGAACAAGCTTGTGCACGCCTTTGTCTCTTACCACTTGAAGAGAGAGATAAGGTTGAAGAGGCAATCAATGACGACCATGTGGAACAAGAGGAACTCACCCCTGAGGGCTCCCCTAGTGAGGATGACCAAGAGTGTTGCATTGATGACTTTCACACCTTTACCCTTCGCAAGAAAAACCTTGAAGACCAAATCTCAAAGGTAGTGGAGCAAATTACCTTATCGAAGACATTGTTTGGAAACTTGTTATCGGACATGTGCTTGAGGAAGAGCTAGAAAGGTTGATAAAAGGGGGTTGAGGAGGAGGAAGTGAGCATTGAAGAAGAGGAAGATCTTAGTTGTTCCTAAGGGGACAACATATATGTGGGAAGAAGGAAGAGAGGTTGAATATGCAAATGGTGTCCAAGATGACGAGTTCACGGTGGATGAAGCTTCTAAAAGTTTCACGTGCCACCAAAGCTTTTCACCGACCTTGATACACTACTAGAGAAGGATCCTTTTGCGGTTTCTCTTCACCAAGCCAGGTCCACACTATGATCAATCTCTCTTGGTGGATGCAATGGTGGTAAATCCATTATTTCCTACATGGTGTGGGGCAAAGAGACGAATGAAGAAGGAAAGATGAAGATGTCTTGGAGGTGGAGCCTCAAATCTCACTAAGTTCACGAGCCATTACCATCACTTTTCACACCATATGCTCAGGACTTACGAATCCACATCACTGAAAAGAGCCACAATTTTAAGGAGGTTTTGGGATGGACCAAAACTTGAGCATCACCATCTGTCTCATGACATGAAAGAAGCGCTTGTTGGGAGAATTCTTTGGAGCCTTAATGAATGCCCAAATTTCAAAACTTTGAGGGCTCCAAGCACATTCGTGAATGATTGTGTTTATAGCATACATTGAGTGTATTTTGGAACCTAATATTGCATCCCCAATTGTGTTTATTACCTACATTGAGTGTGTTTTAGAACCCAGTATTGCATGCCCAAATATAAAAATTTTGAGGGTTCCAAACACCTTGTCCTAGGCATGTACTTGCTTAGTGTGCTTTGGATTGTTTGATGATTGTGATGGTATGTATTATAGGGAGTAGTGTAGCACTATGAGGTTTGTCTGTACATGAGGGATTTTGCTTACATTTCCTCTTGATGTGTTGATCTTTTCTACTATCAAGGTTAGGACATATGCGTGAGAGACTCCCCACAATTTTGGACTCCAAAAAGTTTTACGAAAAGGTGTTTCGTTTTGAAAAAGTTTTGAAAAAAGTGTCTCACTTGAGAGGCAACCGGTCATACTATTTAAGTTAAGCCGTTGAGGGGCTTTTCTTTTGGACCGGAGTGTGATTTGAGGATATGTTTTGTGGACATTATGGATAGCTTTCTAGCGTTCAACCTCCACCCTACTACCTTTTCCATGCCCCCCCCCCCGGAACACTACCTCTGTTCATGGACTTGATTGAGAAATCGTGTCTCATACTAGATGCTTCTTCTGATAGAGTTAATAGGCCCGACTTCTGAATATATCGCACATGTGTGGAAGCTCATCTATCGTTCGGACGAGAGTGCAATTCGGTAATCAACGATTGAGATCCAGACTTACCATCCATAATGCTTCCCCTACCTAACCCTTTCATCCTCTCAACCATCATTTCCCCACATGATGCGTGATTAAGGAAGTGAATGTTGTTTCCATTCTCGCCCCAAGATTGAGCCCTTGTCTTGCAAAAATGCAAATGTGGTGTTGCGTTCGCCAAAGTTAAGTTGTGGCTCAAAGTTTGAGTCCTCTTTCAAAGAAGTGGGAGCACCACCATGGAGTCCATTTCTTTTGATACGTTTTCTTAAGAGTCCTCCAGTGCACATGTGAAGTGTCTAAACCTCTTCGGTGGCATGGTCCTCATCCGGGTTTTTGTTGTCACATTGAGGTGGATGTGAGGTTTCTTGTCACTGATTGACTTTGAAAGTGCTACTGACGAGCTACAGTGCATACCATTGTGATTGTCTTGCAAGTTGTTTTGGTTTCAGTAAGTTTGCTTGGGATAAGCAAATAATTAAGCGTAGGGAGTTCGATTAGAGGCTAATCATACATGTTTTTTAACGCTTCATATCTTAATTGTTTGACTTGGTAATCGTCTTTCCTCGACCCATTTTATACCAGGTTTTGCTTCTTTTGTCATATTTCATATCCTAATATGTATGAAAGGCTCGTGGATGAGTTTCAGGACATTCGAAGGTCAAGACTAGAGAAAAAGTGAAGAAGATGCATCGTTCATGGGTTAAAGAAAATGTTCACTGCCCGAAGGGCGTGAAAATCTCCCCAAAACCATGAATAAAACAAGTTTCCATCTGGGTTAGTGCATCTCGCGGGCTGTGCACATTTCACTGCCTGAGGGAGTGAAAATAACACCCAAACCTTGACGTGCGCACTTCACTGCCATGAAAATAGGTTATCAAAATCAACCCCAGGGTGTGCACCTGCCACTGGTACGGGTATCAATTGACAACAATGGGTTTTGAGCAAGGAGAGCTGGGTTTTTTTTACCCCAAAGCACCCAAAGGGTGATTATAGGGAGAGACTGACCTAAGAGGGTTCTTGGAGCCATTTTGGAGGTGCCCAACCACATTGGATCTTAATGATCATCTCTAAAAGATGAGAATTGATCTTGAAGCCTATTGTATTCTCTTTTTTTTTCTCTCTCTCTATGAACTAGCTTCCTTCACTTGGATTGATGAACACTAGTTCTCTAATTTGGTTTAATTGTTGATGTATGTAATAAATCCTCTATTTGATTACTCATATTATCTATTTGATTGATGTTTATGATGAATTGCATTAATCTTGGTCATTCTCTTGTCAATTGAGCTTTTGACCTAGAAGAGAGAATATCTTCCTAGGTTGATACGACCCATAGTGTTGTATTTGATTTTATCGAATCGAGGGAGTTAGTGGTAAACACCCCAATTGCCTAGGCCAGTTGTTTGGTACGCTTCTCCGAGTAGTCAATCGAGCGGGTTTGGATACCTCGAATAAAAGGTCCAATCTAGTCTAGAATTCTCCATTTTAGACGTATCGAGTCAATCAATCTAGGGTAGTATTCGACATCGACAAAATGTTGCAATTAGGGGGATTCATGCCTAAGTGAGCTCCCACGTTGTAATTAGCTAGAGTGGTGGTTAGAGTAGCTTAGTTAGCTTAATGTTAATCACTATTCTTGTTTGGCTAGATAACATACCCTATGGGTTCGATAATTGTATTACTTAATTTACCCTATGCTACACCTGACCGTCGGTTATGCTTGGCCTTCCATAGGGAAGTTGTAGTTAGTGTGAGTCGCTACAATTAACATTGATTTTTAAAGGGAGGATAACAGTGGTCACTTTTAAAAATTTAAGGTGGGAACATGCATGTGGTGCTACCCATTTATTCCTCATCTCGTCCTTATCTCATAACTACCACAAGTATCATGAAGCATAAAAGAAAAGCACAACAGATCAAAAATACTATAAAGTATGAAAGCTTATAAAGCATAGCACAAACTTGTGACACCAAAAAAATTCATAAAGCATACCAGAAAACTCAAAGTTGACCACAAGTTTCTCAAAATATACAAAAAAAAACCCCCTTATAAAGCTTGCCATAAGCACCCTGAAGTAAACCAGAGACTGCATAAAGAAGAGCACAGGTTCCATGAAGCACACCAAAAATCTCATAAAGCTTACCACAAGTTTCTTAAAGCATATCATAATTTCATTTAAGTAGACCAGAAACCTCATAAAGTTGTCAATTTTTTTTTAAAACAAACTGGAAATCTCATAAAGCATACCAAAACTTTCTTGTAGTATTACATAAATGCAATTAAAGCTTACAACAAGTTTATTAAAGCAGACTGCAAGTTCCTTGGAGCAGACCAGGAACCTTATAAAGCTGACCACAAGTTTCTTATAGAAGACCTGAAACCTCATAAAGCATACCACATTTCCCCAAAGTAGACCACAAACATAATAAAACGGATCATAAATTTATTTATAGCATACAAGAAAAGCATAACATAAACCTCATAAAGCTGACCATAAGTTTCGTCAAACAGGCCAGAAACGTTATAAAGGATGACAAGTAATAATAAAAAATTATAATGATGAAATAATTTTTACAAGTAACCTGCTAGGTTTTTTTACTCACAGAAGGCGGGAGGCAGAAAGTAGTTACCATAATACCCCTAATAATTATGTTAGCGTAGAGGTGTTAGTAGCCTATCCGAACAAGGTTTAAATCATTAGAGCATCTCCAACTAAATCTAACATGTTTCCTATTCAATAGCCACTTTTCCTTTTCTAACGCACCTATTTACTCTAACCATACAATTCAAATCTAATAAACTCATCTTTTTATCTTTTGATTTGTTAGCATAAACCTTACTGATATATTTTAAAAAAATTACTTAAATATTTTCATACTTCATATTAATCAATTAATTTGATGTAATATTTTTATTTTAGACAATTTTTTCTATGAAAAAAATGAAAGAGTACATTGATAAAAATGAAGGGTATATTAGAGTATATTAATAAACGACAAGCATTAAACATTATACATAAAATAAAATAAAGATGAAAAAGATACGGGTACCTTGTGGAAAACATATGATCAGATGATAGGACAATGACGGGAAAAATAAACCCTAGTCAACTTATCGCGATGTAAGGGTTCGTGTTTTTCAAAGATTGAGGTGGCATCTCCGACACCATTAGAAGAGGCCACGAGCTCTGCTTCCTTAGTTGACTTAAAACTTCTTATTAGTCCTGAATACGTTCTTGTGGTTCCTGCTTTTACCTAGGAGAGTGATATGATCCCAATTGATCAACTCTATAAGCTTTTATTGCTTACAAACAAGCAATCTCAAGTTGCAAGAAGAACCCTAAAAATTAGGTAAGTGTTTCTTCTGTTTTAGGGTGTCTACTTTGCAAGGTCAGTCCACACAAATGGCTTGATTAACATTCAAGGAGAAGGTCTCCAATTGAAGTCTAAGCGTTTCTCTACATGCTGGAATGCTTGGATGATCAGAAGGAGTCCATTAAAGCCATTTTTGAAGCTTCCCAAGTTGATATGAAGAAACCAAAAATCTGCCTAATTCTGGCTATGAGACTCAGTCTAGTTACCCAACTTTGAAAGCCTATTTGATGAGGATGGATGAGAGTTGAACCAAGAGGGTTGTGCCACCTGAAAGCACAGGTTTTCTACTGCAACCTCAATGAATTGGATGAAGGAAAGCTTACCTCTAAGACTTTGAACGAACCCTTGCAAGATCGTATAGAGCCTTGTCAGTCTGTCTTGCATCTCGAGAAATCTATTTTCCTTATTGCTTGCGGATTCCTTTTCTTTGTTGGTTTTGAATTTGATTTCGAGTTCTAATGTGTTTAAAACTTCCTTGTTATTTTTTAGACGTAGCTAGAATTATCTATAGCATTTACCTCACATTAAACTCAGTTTTTTATCAACCTGTGTTGGGGTCGCCGTTCTATAAGACGTAGCTAGAGTTATTTATAGCATTTACCTCACATTAAACTCAGTTTTTTATCAGTTGAATACAAACCCGAGTTTGGTTCATCAAGCATCTTGCTTTGTGAATTCGAGTAAGCATCTTAGAGGATTCTAAGTTGTTTGTTAGCTTGTATCGATCAGTTACACACCCTGATCGTGGCCAAACATCGACTTATAATTTTTGAACCTCTTTCCCATGTGAAAGTTGCACGAAAGTTCCCATCCCCAAACACATAAACTACCCTATTTTTGTTTTCTTATTTGACTTCGTAGGTCCAATTCAATATTTGAATTGACCTTTTCACTGACCTACTCTGATTCAAATTCAATCCTTTAGGGTTGCATCAAATGGAATTTCGAGCCTGGTTCAAACATAGTGGCCAAGATGACAAAGGAAGTTCGACCGGTTGCTGGAAGAACGAGGTAGAAGGATTTGATTGCCCTGCGGAAACCAGAAGAGTTAAGAGTCTGACGAAGAGACTCAATTGGACCAGCAAACCATGGGCGATTCGATTCATCATGCAAGAATAGTAAAGTTGTTTAGATGTTTTTTCTTTTTAGATGCATAAAAGTACATATAAATTATTTTATAAGAAAGTGAATTTCGAGTTTCATCATGCATACTAAGGCTCAACCATATCATGCATCAATGACTCATCTATAGCATCACTCCATCCCTTCCACAAAGGTTATTTTCTTCCCGTACATGCGTCTCTTGAGATAGTGATTTAACTAGCTAATGTGTTGATCACTTCAATCCGTGCAGGTTTTGTCAAAGGTTTGCACGTATCCATAACTACCACATCATAGGCCAAGTTTAACCTAGAATGGCATTGCCGTATAGTGGTAATTAAGGTCGTATTCTATCCGAGTCCCGATATCCTAGCCTACTTCCCACCTAGTTGCTAATTAGTTAATCGGTTTTGAGTGGAGGTAGAGGTGGCAATTAGGATCCAAATCCATGAATCCAATCCAATCCATCCACCAAATTATCCACCTAATCCAATCCATTTGATCCAAATCCAATTGGATTGGTGGATTCATGGATCAATCCATGGATCCAAATGGCAAATTATGATTTGGTACCTATATTTTTTATATTTTATATTTTGGTACCTAAAATTTATATTTTTATACGAAAATATCATTGGAAAATTACATTTTGGTACCTAAAATTTTTCATTATGACATTTTAGTACCAAAACTTTTCAAATTTTACATTTTGGTCCAAGCCTTGGATGTCATTTGGATTCATGGATCAATCCACCAATCCATTTGATCCAATCCATGAATCCACCAATCCATTTGATTCGTGGATCCACCAATCCAATCCACGTATCCGATCCAATTGCCACCTCTAAGTGGAGGATATGAGGAAACTCTAGTCTAAAGATTGATAAAAGATAAAAGCAGGTACTTCGCGGTCTAGTCCTTCCCTTAGCTTAGGGTCACTATATGTATATATATATATCTAAGGTCGTCGAATATGGTGAATTAGCTCTTTTCCGTGGGCCTTCGTTGTTATCCACACGTCTCCCCTAAATCCATGTTCCAGTCACCTCGATCTAGGCTATCGTATCCACACACCAAGATATGTAGGTTAAATAACACCAAGTTTGGTGTTATTAGTTTGACAATTAAAACATACTTGCCCTATACTGCACCCGGCTAGAGTTTATCCTTGGGTTCTAGTCGGGATTTAAATCACGGTGTAGTCCGTGCGAGTCAACCTCGACCATTGGTCGGACACCACTTGCATCTTCAACCTCCCTTCCTTCTTTCCAAATTTGTTCTTCACTTGAGAAAAATCAAAATCTTCCTCTTGTTCAAGCTCACTTCCTCCTCCTCCAGCCCTTCTCTCACCTTTCCATCCTTTTCTTCAAGCACAAATTGGAGGGCAAGACGCCATGAAAGGTCGTTGAAAAGGTCACCTTGCTCCTCCACCCTCGTGCCTTTGTCTTCAAAGTTGGTCTTGGGATGGGGAAGGGTGTGAAAGTCATTAATGAAACACTCTTGGTCATCCTCAAGATGAGAGCTTTCCATGATTGATCGCCTCTTCAACCTCTTTTTCTTCTTCAAATGGTTAGGGAATAGGGACGAAGGCATGCACAAGCTTGCACAACCTTCTCTTGTATTGTCAAATCGGGAGGAGGGAGGGGTTGGAAATCCATGTTGGAGTATGTTCTTTAATTTCAAAGTTCTCCATGGCAAGCTCCAATGAGTTGCTCACAATGAAGGTCTCCATTGTTAACTCCAACTCGGCTTGACCTCGGATTGTGTTAGGAGGTCCACATTGGAGCATCCTTCCTCTGTCCCCCGAGTGAATTGCTCCACCATGAACTCCAATTGGCTCTTCGGCTTTGGTTGTGAAAGGAAGTCTTATTGGTAGGTGGGTGAAATTCTAAACAAATGCACAATTCAATTACGTTAGTGGTATCCGATGCCATATTCTTACTTAAGTGGTATAGTTTTCCTAATTATCATATTTTAGTGGTACCCGAAGTATTTGCAATATGTGAAATATTTGACTATTGTTTTGCATTTAAAAAGATTTGGTCATAAATATTTGAGTTAAAAAACAATTAATGCATTGTCTTTCATTGAAAAATACTACATTGCAATGATTTACATATATAATTATAAAAATTATTTACATCATATCATTGAAACAATTCTCTCACACACACACATATATATAAAAGCTTGATAACGTATTCAATTAATGATTGGTTCAGTAATTTGACTCAATAACCAACAGGAAATCAGAACAAAGTTCTACAAAAAATTAGTGGACAACCGAGATACAATCTGGACTCAATTCACTTAGCTATAACAAAGTTATGTCTAGTAAAAATAAACGCGGCTGCCCAAGCCGCCGCATCCTGAGGCACGGAGAATTTCCGGATGAAAAACAATTAATATATATTATATTTTACTGAAAAACAAGAGTAATGACTATTTATTAGCCAAACCTTTTTCGGATCTTTTTTATTAGCTAAACCTATCGAAATACTAAGAATTAGTCAAATGTTAACTTCCACTCTAGTTAGCAATTTTATTAGTAATATTGACTTGACAACATGATACTGACTTGGAAGAGATACATCCAAAATTTTAGTATTTTAACTTAGAAAAGAGTTACAAAATTATTAAGATAACTTAAAAATGGCTAATATTATGATGCATTACCAAGGTTGTCAAACCGGTTTATGCCGGTGTGCCGGTTTTGTAAGTGGAATGGTCTGACCGTGGTACAACCAGTATTCATGCCGGTTGTGCCGGTTTTAATAAAATACATGAGGAAAATGGAAATTCTCAATTCCAAATAAATTAGTCATGAAAAAGCAATCAGAAGAATTATTTCACACAAAATAATTTATAGCTAAGAATTGGCAACTAATACTAAACAATTAGATGCTTAAAAATAAAATTTTATTAAATGAATTTTATTAATGTTTATAATGATTTGTGTAAAATTTAGTATTAGATATATAAAATATAAGGTTAATATAGACAACAAAATTGCTTGTAGCCTACTGGTGTATAAGTTAAACTAAAAAAATGAATATGAGGTGCTTGGTTCAAATCCTATGGAGGATGTTTATTTTTGAACTAGCTTGTAACCCGACCCGTTGGTCGGAGGAGCTGAGCCGAATATTGAATTATTGGGATAACCCGTAGATTCAACCATTAAGCTAAATTGGTCTAATGGTGAGTACCGCCTAGCATATCCCTAATAATCATACCAAAGTGAATATATTGGAACATAAACAGTACATCAAAAGTTGGTACAACCATGAAGTTAGACCATTAAAAACATACCAATGAAATTGAATAGCATCGAAAAACTTCAACTTCATTATATAATTACATGAGATCAGAAAGAGAACACCATTAATTTGATTTATAAAACTTTCATCTTGTCGTCATTGTGCTTTCTGGTTTTTGTCAGGCCATGATAAAATCTAAGGAAATCAAGAACGAACAACACGATTTGGGATAGGAACCGCCGTTGTCGTATTCCTAGAGAATGGTGGTAAACACGGACTCACCTGCCAAACTGGTTTGGATTGAGATTTTTATCGGGTATCAGGGAACCATGTGATTATAAATTAGACTTGATCAAAACGGGCCAAAACTTAAAATTCAGCCTGTTTGACCGACCCATGCAAAATTCTAATTATTCGTTACTTTTAAACTTTCTATTTGAAAATAAAAAATAGTGAAAGAAAATAGATGACTGCAATTCGCCATTTGCACATCACTTACTCGGTTATGTTCCTTGCTTTTCTTTAAAATGGACATGGTTATGTACGTAGTGTGATTGGTTATGTTCCTTGCTTTTCTTTAAAATGGACATGGTTCGAATCCCAGTACGTGTCTTTTTAATGAATAAAAAAAAGTAATTGTGAAGACCAAAATGTCCTTCCTACTTTCACTCTCGTTGCAGGAAATTTGAAATGGGGCTCCCGTTTTTCCCTTCGGTGTATTATATTATGTGTAGATATAATGTGTGTAACATTAAATTCCGGTTTCTGGTCTAACCGGCCGGAATTTCCGGATTTGACCGGATCTGACCGGCATTGACCGGATTTGACCATAGTTAAATACGGCCCTTTTCCAGCCGGCATGAAACCGGTTTGACAACCATGTGCATTACCAAAGATTTGACTAATTAATAGCATTTTAATAGGTTTGAATATTATAAAAAAATTAAAAAAAAATTTGGATAAAAAAAAAATAGATTACCTCTCAAAGTAATACAATACTATTTTTTTTACAATAAAAATATTATTAATACAATACGAGGAACACTTGTTGTAACTTAACTTGTAATTTGTAACAATCTCAAATAATGAAATAAACTATTAGGGTGTGCCTACGGTGACATGCATGTCACGGTGACTTGCACTTTTCGGTCGACCTCAGTTAGGATTAGGTCGACCTCATTTAGAATTTGGTCGACCTCATATAGGATCTGGTGGACCTCATTTAGGATTCGGTCGACCTCATATAGGATCAGGTCGACCTAATCTGTTCTTTCAGTGTAAAAACAGTTCATGGTGTCTACTTTGGATATTCAAATCATACAATTGGCTAGATGGAAATTGAAGACTAATGACTTGTTTTGAAGCTGGAGTGTCCCTCTACATATTGAAGTGATTGAGAGCTCGATAGGAAGTCCAGAAGACCATTTTTGAACCTCATCAAAAGGCTATGCCAAAACTGGGAAACTGCCTGGAAATGGCTAAGTCTGGAAACGTGTTTGTGAAGCCTATTTTGGAGCTCAGTTCGAGAAGCATGAATGCGAGTCGAGTCCAGGAGCCTCTACCACGTTAAATTAGGTATGTTTTTATACAAATTGAAGGCATTGGATGAAAGATTGGATATCTGTATGGCTTCAAACAAACCAGTCGAAGTTGCTACGAAGGCTGTTTTTCTGGCAGACTTCGAGCACAAGCAAGCTGCCAGAAAAAAGCCTTCGTAGCAACTTCGAGCCTTTTGTTTGAAGCCTTAAAGATATTCAATCTTTCATCCAATGCCTTGCCTTTGTATAAAAAAATACGTAATTTAACGTGGTAGAGGCCTCTGGACTTGACTCGCATCCATGTTTCTCAAATTGAGCTACAAAGTAGGCTTGACAAACACGTTGCCAGACTTAGCAATTTTCAGGCAGTTTCCAAGTTTTGGCATAGCCTTTTGGTCAGGTTCAAAAATGGTCTTCTAGGCTTTCTATTGAGCTCCCAAGTACTTTAATGTGTAGAGGGACACTTCAGCTTCAAAACAAGCTTTTAATCTCCAATTTTCATCTAGCCAATTGTAAAATATGAATCTCCAAAGTAGGCACCATGAAACTGTTTTTACACTGAAACAACAGATTAGGTCGACCTAATCCTATATGAGATCGACCGAAAAGTGCATGTCACTGTGACATGCATGTCACCGTAGCAAAGTCCAAACTATTAACCAAACCCAGATTTTCTATTTTGTTGTTATACTTTGTTTAGACTACACGTCAGTCGCAAGCTACTTGCATCGTTGACATGTGTTGTGCCTGTGTGTTTCCCCGGGTTTGGTACTCCATTTCCTCCTTGAGTTCCCCAGCCACCCGCCCCTTCGAACTTTCCGATCCCCATTTTCTTCCTGTACCAGCTTGAGTCGGGTTTCTTCCCCTGCAAATTCTCCATCTCGCATGCGTTTAGGAACTGAATCACGAACAATCAGGGAAAGGGGAAATTCCAAACAGGCGAAAATCAACAATGTCCAAACCAAACCCTAACATTTCGTTACCCAAACCACCACCGCCCTCGTCTCTCGCTAATCCCACCAACTCGCTCATCATGACTCAGGACCAACTCGTCGACTCCCTCACAGCCCATATCTCCCTCTACCATTCCCAATCCCAATCCCAATCCCAGTCCTCCAACCCTAATCCCAGTTCTCGATCTGCTATCCTGCAATGGTTTTCCTCCCTCTCCGTTGCTCAGCGCCAGGCTCACCTCACCATCGTCGATCCCAAATTCACCCAGCTCTTGATTCAAATGCTCGGAAAGCTACGGACAAATGGTTACGGCCGCTTCATCATCCTGCCAGACCTTCCTTCCGACGATCTCCCAAGCCTCTGCTACAAGAAGTCCACTGGTCTCTTATCACGGACTGCCGAGTCCAACCATTCGGAAAGGTTAGTTTTCGAGTCCACTCGGCTTTTTGGATCGAGAGAAGGGGAAAAGCTGCAGGATTGCTCGTGTTCAGTAAGTTGTTTGGATTCCGTGACGGTGTGTAAAGAGTTCGTTGAGAACGTTGATGATTTTGTTCTCACCATGGACACGGTGTCCAATGGAGGGTTCTTGAGGAGTCCTGACAGTGAATTGGGAGCAGATTGGGTGGAATTGGAGTGGCTGAAGGCGAGAGGCTATTATAGCATTGAGGCTTTTATTGTAAATCAGCTGGAAGTCGCCCTTAGGCTTGCATGGTTGAATTCTGCTAATGCTAAGAGACGAGGGGTGAAGTTGAAAGAGAAGTTGAGCACTGCAGGAGTTGCCGCCAATGTGTTTTGGAGGAAGCAAGGCTGCTTAGACTGGTGGGCAAAATTGGATGCTGAAGTTAGAAGGAACATCGTAACTGTTGCGCTTGGGAAAGCTTCCAAAGCATTGGTATTGCGTGCTCTCTATACTATCATATTATGACAGCACAACCATGCCTGATTCAAATTTACAATCTTTAATGAAGCTCATAAGTAATTGAATTGCAGTTTGCACCAACCTTTCCTTCTTTCCAAACTAACTTAAACTCTTAACTACAAATTGTTCCTGCTTTGATTAGAGATATAAGGTTTGCTTTCTTAGTTTTAACTATTGTGTGGTTGTTGGAGTAGTTTGTCTAGATAAAGAAAGAAAAAAGAGAGGTTCATGGGGTGTACCATCTCTGTGATTAAACAGGGTAAATGTGCGCATGCCATTTTTTCTTCTTTTCCTTGCTCTATGAGTGTAATAAGTTGCAACCTAACTTTTGGATGTTTCAAGTCCTCAGACTCGTGAGATTCTGAAGGAAGCTAGTAGTGTGCTAGAGGACCAGAGGTGGCTCTTTAGACAAGGAGGAGAACAACCAATGCGACATGTCTTTGATGAATCGTCACAAAAGAATCTCCTAAACCGCTCAGCTGATGTGGAAATTGGGTTATCCATTCTGCCAGCTCCTGTTTTCGGGAAACCTGCTACCATCTCTAACATGTGTAATAGCTTGTCCATCATCCGGGCTATTGCCACCTTGATATCCTCACTCTGGTGTGGTGATAGTGATATATCAGCAGTGTTCTTTACCACTTTCATTTCCGTCAGTACCATATCAGATTGTATCTTACGGAAGTTGCGAGGACTTTTTATGGTCATATCGCTTGAGTACACAAAGCTTGAACTCTTGGAGGAGGGGACTTCTGTGCCTCCACAGAGCAAACGCAAGGAAAAACAGTCTGCCGTTGGCCAAACCAAAAAAGGGAAACCTCAGACTGTGAAAAAGCAGAATCGTTTTCCAGAGAATGGGCTGGCGAAATCATCCTTTTTGAAATCATTGAAGGTGGCTTTTTCTCTGATCTCTCATCTGGAAATATCACTTGTATAAGATACGTTGTTAGTTACAGAATGTTTATACTTCCATATTAGGATGCTGCACCTGCCATGTCTTGCACCGAGAAGGCAGACACTTTGGAATGCACTAATAATCCTTGTGGGCATGATGCAGTGAAAATTCAAGTACATAACTACCCTTTTTGTATGTTGATTTGGTTTATAATTTGTTTTTGTGGTTTAATTAGTTCAATAACCCTGACTTCTCTCCAGGAACACTCCCAAGGGCCACTTCTTGGAAGAGGTCAGACCACTGCTAGGAAGAAGAAGAGAGGAAGAAGTAAACACAGGAATTCCGGCTTCAGAACTAAAATTGAAGTCACATGTTCTGAAGGACTGATTGAGGAACATCAACCTGGCATCATCAAATGCATTGATGAAACCAGGAAGCTTGATGCGATAACTGAGAATTCAGTTGTCCAGAATATATCTGATGAAAGTTTAGCTGATGACAGTGATCTTGCATTAAATACAAGCTCGAAGAGTTCTGCTGATGCATCTTGTATGGAGGATGCCCAAGGTTCTATGGTAAATGGTGACGTTGGCAAAATCTGTGGTGAGCTTCATGGAGGTTCACTTCATGACCAGACAATCGACAATTTGAGTAAGATGGACAGTATTGGAACAAAACCTCATGATATTCTACCGTCGGGAAATGGTATTGTTTCCGGAAATGTTGATAGTAACTCTCGAAGCCAAAAGGCAAATGGAAAATTTCCTTTCGCTGACAAGCTACTGCAAAACCTCGATGTCCAAGGAAAATCAGCCATGTTTCACAAAAGAGGGAATGGAAAATCTTCTGATTCTGGACATATAGGACATTCACAGTGCTTTCCTTCTGAAGGACCCAGTTTAGCCCATGTATATTTTCCCTCAATCAATTCAAATCTTCCACCTGCTACTGACCGACTGCACCTAGATGTTGGCTTCACCTGGCATAGCCGCATTCGTCAACCTTTTGTACCAACAGTGCATCAAGCTGGAAGCTCACCTGTTGAAGGTGGGTGCAAGCAGATGATCTCCCGACCTCTGCCAATGAGTTTAGATTGGCCTCCAATGGTTAGACGTGCATGTAGCTTAACTCCATCCTTGACATGCAACTATGATAATGGCTTTATCTCTAGAAGGCAAGCTGCTTTCCAGCAGGGCTTAGCTGGTCAAAGGGTACAGTTTAACACAAATACCATTGATGATAATGGAAATTATGGAGATATTATGGACTTGCCTGAAGGTACAAATCGACAGGAACCAATGGATGATTATGATCACTGGCTGTCAGAAGAAGAGATTGAGGTTCATGCTGTTTCTGGGATAGACTACAATCAATATTTTGGTGGTGGCGTAATGTACTGGAACCCTTCTGATTACCCAGTAACGGGATTTTCTCGGCCTCCTTCACTTAGCTCAGATGATAGCTCATGGGCATGGCATGAAGCTGACATGAATAGGACTGTCGATGACATGGTTGCCTTTTCATCTTCGTATAGTACAAATAGTTTGACTTCACCAACAGCTGCTTCATTTTGTTCTCCTTTTGACCCTTTAGGGACTGGACACCCTGCACTTGGTTATGTAGTATCAGGGAATGAAGTAACTGGTAAAGTCCAAAATTCCACATCAAAGGACACATCTGAGGAGGAGAAAGTATCTGGATCTTTGGCTAGTTCTTCTGGTGACACTGAAGGGAAAGTGGGAGATGTCTTTCCGTACCCAATTTTGCGTCCTATCATCATTCCGAACATCTCAAGAGACAAACCTAGAGCAGATATTAAGCATGTCCTTGAGCATAAAAGCCCATGTATTTCTCATTCAAGGAGGGAACACCCTCGGATAAAAAGGCCACCATCACCAGTTGTGCTTTGCGTTCCCCGGGCTCCTCATCCTCCTCCACCCTCTCCAGTGAGTGACTCAAGAAAACAACGGGGTTTTCCAACTGTTAGGTCTGGTAGTTCCAGTCCGAGACATTGGGGAATGAGAGGTTTCTATCACGATGGTATTAACTTAGATGAAGCACGTGTACGTATGGACGGAACTGAAGTTGTTTGGCCTTCTTGGAGAAGTAAAAATCTAGCGGCACGTCCTATGGTTCAACCTCTTCCTGGAACTTTGTTGCAAGACCGTCTTATTGCAATATCTCAGTTAGCTCGTGATCAAGAGCATGTAAGTTCATTTCAATACATTTGTGTGACTTTGTTCCTCTAATGAAACTGAAGTCTAATGTTGGGTGCTGTGCAGCCAGATGTGTCATTTCCTCTTCAACCTCCTGAATTGCAAAACTGTCCTGCAAAGAAAGCAGCTCTTTCTTTGATGCATGTGGTTCTTCATGATGAAATAGAAATTTTCTGCAAGCAGGTATATAGTTCACAAACTGATGTTGTTTTAAGTTCAAGTGCGTCACTATATCTAGACTATATCTGTAACCATCTATAACTGGAACTTGACATTGACATTTGACTTGTCTGACATATTTGCTGCAAAGGTTGCTGCAGCAAATATTGCTCGTAAGCCATTCATTAATTGGGCTGTTAAGCGAGTCGCTCGATCTTTACAAGTATTATGGCCCAGATCCAGAACTAATGTCTTCGGATCAAATGCAACTGGCCTGTCCCTTCCATCCAGTGATGTGGACCTTGTCATTTGTCTACCCCCAGTGAGGAATTTGGTGGGATATCTCTTCACTATTGTCCTTAACCTTTCATCTATGTTCAAGGGAACTAACTTGTATCTATATACTAGGAACCTATAAAAGAAGCAGGAATTTTGGAGGGTCGTAATGGTATTAAAGAAACTTGTCTGCAGGTACGTTTTGGCTTTTGTGAACTAAAGCTTCTATGGGGCAATGGTGTTAAGTATTTTCCCTTCAAAGAACCCTGCCTTATTGAGTATTGACTAACTGTGATGCTTCACTTGTGTGCCTCCCTACCTTGTAACTGCTGCTACTGTTATCCAGCATGCAGCCAGGTACCTTGCCAACCAGGAGTGGGTAAAGAGTGATTCACTGAAAACCGTTGAAAATACAGCTGTATGCCTCACCAGGATATCTTTAAATATTTCCTCGTTTTTTCTTCCTCTCACATCTACGTATCCATTCATGTTGCATTTTCTTTCTTTGTCCATTGTGTCCCAGATTCCCATCATCATGCTTGTTGTGGAAGTTCCCAGTGATCTGAGCTCCTCCAGTACCTCTGTTGTGCAGAAGGAGTGTAAAGCTTGTGCCATAGATCCTCATCTAGAGTCTGATATCCTCAATTCAGAGGAGTCAACTTCTCTGGAATGTTCAGAGCCACAATTTGATGGCATGAAGGATGTCCAATCATTCCGTCTAGACATTAGTTTCAAGTCTCCATCTCACACTGGGCTTCAAACCACTGAGCTGGTAATTTATGTCAAGAAGTTTCGTTGTAAACTGAATCCACTGTCATGCTTATGAGTCGCTTGGAATTCATTTCAATTGTTATTTAGTATAGACTGAAGTTCAATGGATGTTTGCATGAAGGAGAAGGTCAATGTCTAGTGTGAGGCATATGCTTCAGTACGCTCAGCATTTTCTCTTGCACTACCCTTGACTAAGAAGGTGAAAGGACTAAGGATTGCGAGAAAAACAGAGAACCAGTTGGTCTTAGCACCATAGGCCTGCATATAGGAGTGCGCAATGAAGGATGAATACCGTATAGTGTCTAGTAAACTGAACCTTACAAGTGACTCGCATATTTGTGAAAGCTGACTTAACTGTAGACTATCTATGATTTGACCTGCTCTCAATCATATTAGAAATGTGACTAGCCCTTAACATTCGGTGTTTTGCTGGGTTTTTTTACTCTTTTCAGTGTCGTTTGCAGTTGGTAAATTTTCTTTCAGTTTTTGCCTTTATATTTTGCACTAGTTCTGTCCCCCTTTCCTTATTGCATTTAAACAAATGCACGCAGGTGAAGGAGCTGACTGAACAGTTTCCAGCAGCTACTCCTCTTGCTTTGGTACTGAAAAAGTTCTTGGCAGATCGTAGCCTTGATCAATCGTACTCCGGTGGCTTGAGTTCCTATTGTTTGGTAATTATGCTATGTAGGATTATTGTTTGGTAACATATCAGGAGCTTCATCTAATCATCTATTTGAATCTGTGTGATAAATTGCTGGTTGAGATGGTGTACCTCATTGTGTCAACTAAAATCATATTTTGTTCAGAACTCCAGACTTGAGAACTTATCTCATGCTCGTAGTAGCCTGAAGCTCGGTCTCTATTTGAGGCATTGCTCTTGTTTCTTTGACTTACGGTTCTTTCCAATGCTTCTGCAGGTTATAATAATCACACGCTTTTTACAGCACGAGCATCATCTCGGTCGGCCTGTTAATCAAGTAATCTGATGCTGGAATTTCCATTCTGAATTTAAGGCTTTGCTAGTCAGCTGGGTTCTCAACCTTCCTTTCCTTGCAATGTTTTCTGCTCTTATTACTACACGAGCAGAAACCTAGTGGCAAGGCTCTTTGCCTTCAGCAAATATACATATGCAGCTCCTTTTAAGTGCTTCAAATTTGTTGTTTTGCAGAACTTCGGTGGTCTGCTTATGGACTTTCTTTATTTCTTTGGGTAAGTGGAAAGCTGAGGCTGAAATGTTCGCTTTGGCTATGTGAGGCTGGCACACATGTTCCATTGTTAGCTACGTAGCAATTGCTATTGATGTAATTTTGAAACTAAGATTCTTTCTGTTCACGCAGGAATGTGTTTGATCCTCGTCAAATGCGAATCTCTGTGCAGGGTGCAGGCTTGTATATAACTAGGGAAAGAGGTCAAAGGTAAATATACGATTTGAGTGAGGTCTTATTTTATATCAGTTCTAGAATTCTAATATCTGACTGTTCGGTATTTTCTGCAGTATTGATCCTATACACATTGATGATCCTCTTTTTCCAACAAATAATGTGGGGAGGAACTGTTTTCGAATACATCAATGTATTAAGGTTAGCCTTTCAATTTGATCATTTATCTAATGTGGATCTTCTGTTAGGATTGCACAACATTGAAAATTTTCAGTTGTCTGGGATATCCTTTTAGCTAGCAAAAGCATACAGAGGGATTCCCTTCTTCAAAATGACCTATTACCTATATTGCCATTATTGTTTATGGGTTAAGTTGCCAACAAGCAAACTAAGTTGAATAAGATATTGGGTTTTATCTAGACTATGAGGATGTATGGTTTTCGCATGACCACACGCCAATCACTTCCCTTAACCTTGGGATCTTTGGTTGGATTCTTCATACAAATTAAAATAATAACGAGAGCTGGCGTGGCAAGACAGGAGAATGGGTTGATATTTCTGTAGCGTTTCTCTAATATGGATGAATCTTACACTTTTCAGGCATTCTCAGAAGCTTACTCAATCTTGGAAAATGAGCTTGCATGCCTCCTTGATGAGTGTAAGACAAGGTCGGTACCCCCATATCGACTGCTGCCAAAAATCATCCCAAGTATTAGTTCACTATAGTGAAAAATCTGCACATGTCCCAGAAGGTATATGATTTTCTTTTTATCAAAGTTACTTGTTCATTGGTAATCAGATGGAGCATTTGAGTTTTTTTTTTTTTTGGCTGAAATTATGCTCTATTTAATATTAGGATGATGTGATCTTTACTAGACTTGAAGGGGGCAGTATCCTGTAATCTTTCTGGACTTCGTTGAGCATCTATGAGGTAATTATATAAAGGTTGAATGACATAGCAAGGTTTATAAAGAGCTTGCATCTAAATAAGGAAATTTTACTTCCATTTAGATTGACTAACTTAATTAACCATGTACATTTGTCTTTTTTATCATCCAAGATGTGGATTTCTTATCACAGTGGCTCAGATGGTGCTGCTAGGAAAGCTGCAGTCGTTCTGCCAGACAGGGTTGGGCCTTGTTTCATGAATTTCAAGTGAATTTCTGTAACCCGAAGATGTTAGAAACACGCTGGCCAGGCCGGGTGGATTCGACGAGAGCCTCGGATCAGGTTTCTAAATCAAACCCGAAGTACCAGAATTAAGATAATTATTATTTTTTTATTTGCTTTTTGTTGTATTGAATTATTCAAGGCTTTGACATTATTTTCAGCTTCAGGAGTAAGAAAGAACAAAATTGAAATCCCTAATTCCCAATCACTTCCTCATCCTCACGGTTAAACAACGACCACACTTTGGCTTCAAAAATTGGTCCATGAGCACCTGTGTGCAATTTTGTCACTCTTTCAGGGGACTGGAATTGGGAACGATTGCATGGAAAACTCCCTGAGAATGTTCTGTCTTTAATTGCAGGTGCTGAAACGCCAAAGGAAGGACAAGGTGATGACAAAACTCTTTGGGGGCTGGAGCCAGATGGCAGATTCAGACTCAAGTCAGCATACAAGCTTGCTGCCGAGGAGCTCGAGCCAACAGAAGAGGAAGAATGGAGGAAGCTTTGGAAGTGGAAAGGACCAAAGAGGATCAGACACTTCCTTTGGCTGACATTGCACGAGAGACTGCTGACCAACCAGGAAAGAGCTCGAAGGAAGCTGACGAATGATGGAAGCTGTAAGCACCCGGGATGCAGCAGCCAGGAAACGACAGAACATCTTCTTAGACAGTGCAAGAAACTGAAGGACTTTGGAGGAAGCTTAGACATTCCGTCACTGTCTCTGATAGCGGGATTATCGAAAACCCGTAGGATGAAGAGAAGGGGATTGATTTTGGGATCATCCTGTGGCATATCTGGAAGCAGCGTAACGAAGAAATCCCTTATGGAAAGAAGTATTGTGAACAAAGTCTGCTGCACCGGATCCTTGCCTATTTCAATATTGTGAGAAGTGCAAGACAAAACATTGACATGATCAAGGCAGGGGATATCACAAGGAAAGAGAGGAGACATCTTGCTTGGTCACTACCAGACGAAGGATGGATGATGATTAACACAGACGGATCTGTGAATGCTGAAGAAGGGAAAGCTGCTGGGGGAGGACTCTTGCGAGACCACCTTGGACGCTGCCATGAGGCCTTCTCAATGAATCTCGGCAACTGCACCATTACAAGAGCGGAGCTGAAAGGTGCTGAAACAGGAGTTGCAACAACATGGAGGAAAGGATACAGAAAAATCAAGTTGTGTATGGACTCTACCACGGCTATAAGTATCATCAAGAACAGGGATGATGATTGATGACGACCATAGATATGGTACCCTTGCGCTGGAGTTTAAGCGGGCTCCTTTCACTCACTTGGGAAGTTCGGATTGAGCATATTTATAGAGAGAATGCTATTGTGCTGCAGATTTCTTAGCTATTAGACGCCATAGCCTTCATTTTGGTACACATTCTATCGATGTGTGCGATTCAGGTCTTTGTCACTGGATCAATTTTGATGTCATGGGTATATCCCAAGAACGCCATTGGTGTCTGTCTTTCTACCAAAAAAAGAATAAATATATGTTATATCGGTCATTGGTCTTTGGTGTCTCATTTCTACTGATTAGCTGCTGCATTTTCATTTTCTCATAAGCGGCATTTTTTACTGAAAAGATAATTAGCATGTTCTCTTTCGATTCAGATTATCTTCATTATTTTACGCTGAGCATATCCTGGCCAGAAATAGGATGGGAAATTCATGCGGGCCAGTGGGGGTTTGTTAAGTAGCAGTCGTTATTGTCTTCCCAGATATAAGGTGGCTGGGACACACAAAACTAATTCTTCCTTACTCTCTCATTTTATTCCATTTCTGCATATGGCGTTAAACAATGCCATTGCCATATTTATCAAGTGTCTGGTAGTCGTTACTCATTCTTTCTTTCCTTTTTGAAGTGCTTTAGTTCAGTAACTCAGAGAAGTGATATGCATGCATTGTGATGCATTGCACGCTTGGTGGGCTGTTGTTGACCACCAAGGTTAAAGGTTATTTACTACATTTAGCAGCTTGTATCAGATTCTGACATAGTTATTGGCCTTCCGTAGTGCAGTGTGTTTTTTTACCCAGAGCCAGTTCAGCAAACAGCAATCGAGGAGCGGATTCTGGAATTTAAAACGGAAGAGGGCTGATGTTGCTATTACAAGTAGCTGCTTTATTGAAAGATCTGATAATCGGAAAGGTATTATTGTCATTGGCCCTCTTTTCACGATGAATGTTCGTAGAGAGTTGGTCAGGCTAGCAGATGAACAGTTTCCAACAATATTTATGACAATTTGTTCTCTTGGTGTTCAGGAATAGGAAACCCTCTGTTCCCGAAGGAAAATGGGGGAGGGGAGGGGAAGGGAAGGAAATTAGGAGGGGAGGGATAATTTTGAGGTTAAGAAAATTGAAAGGAAAATTGTGTTTTACGGAGGAAAGTAGGAAGGAAAATGTGTATCGGAAATTGTGATGGATATATTATTTTATTGGATATATAATAGTAAATAATTTGATTAAATTTAACCTGAATCGAATCGAAAGAGAACATGCTATTATTGTATTCCTGAGCATAACCTGCATTTTCATTTTCTCACAAGAAAGGTTAAACTTAATAAGTTGATATTAGTTTCATTGTATATGAATTGTAAATTAAATTTAACCTTTCTTATTAAGTTTGTTCACCATTAAAAATGAGATGCAGATGGTTTCAAATTTTTTTGTGAACCAATTGTTAATTTTTTATGTTTGGTGTATAAACTCAGGTATCTTCGATTCTTGGTAATATTAGTGAGCGTTTGGCAACAAAAAAAAACATAATTATCTTTCTTAAATTATGTTTAACAACAATAAATAACAATTGTATTATTAAAATAAGAAAAGAGGAAATATAAATAATGATTTTAGTGTAAACAAATAGAATGAGCTGACATTTCTGATAATCTCACTTATTAATTATCTATTACATTTAGAAACAAAAATACTCTCCAACATTCACTCTCACTTCACAAAATTTGAAATAGAAAATCTTAAAACATTAAATATATCTTATAGAAAGAACTTCTTCAACCAAGTAGAAAATGTATTTTACCTGAAATGATTATATTTTATAGAATGTGATTAATTGTGAAATCAGAACTCAAGTAACATTGATTTATACACTGAATAATAAATTGTATGTGTGGTTCAGTTTAGACAAAATACATATGTGTAGCCAAAACATGGATCTTTGTGACAAATTTTGTAATTTTTTGTCACAAATTTACACGTAATATAAAGATAAATTGGACACTATGACGAAAAAGAGCATCCTAGAATCATTCTCAGGCCATAAAATTTGAAATGAGACTCTCATTTCCAATTTTATCATTTTATTATGTGTTTATTTGTCACAAAAAAATGATTATACTCGTCAAAAAATTCCATGTTTTAGTTACACTTATGTATTTTGTCTGAACTAAACAACATGTACAATTTAATATTAATGTATAAATCAATACTACTTGAGTTCCGATTTCAGAACTAATATCTTTCTATAAAATATAAATATATAAGCATCATCACCAAACATATTCTTAGAGTTCAATCAAATAAATAACAATAAATAAAATGTGGCCTAGTTGGTTATAATGCTCTTTCTTCTTTCAAGTGACAAGGTTCAAACTCCAACGATAACATTTTGAATATGTAAACATGAACTAGGTGCAATGACAAAAATGGCCTTCCTAGAATCACTCTCAGGCCACGAAATTAGAAATGGGAGAATTCCAACCCATGTTTTGGCTTTATATATTTTTAGATTTAGATGAATTGTTCCCAGTCACCAACTGCTCCCTCCTATCTCCATAAATCAATAGCAGTTGTTTTATAGTCACCAACAATTCCTTCCCACCTCCCCCCAAATCCCTCACCAACCTGTTGGTCTCAGTCGCCGCTCTTTAAGAAGCTTGTAAAGACGAGACTCCCTGCCCGAATCGCTGCCCAACCCATCATCCATATTGCCCACCTGAAATCCTCCATCTCTTATGCTGTCCTAGGGGAAGTAGTAATCGACCATGTCGCCTTCTTTTATTGAATCACTAGTATTGAGAACTCTAGCACCTGGTTTCAATTCATAGGGTTTTAATTTTCCCCAATTTTGACCTGTGATTGAGTTTGAACTTTCATTGCGACGTGTGCATGTCTATTTTAAGGGGAATCTGCTCTAGATTCAGTACGCGAAAGTCCCATTGGTGACATTGGACTATGAGAGTGGCTACAACATGGTATTGAAAGCTCGCGATGGCTGGCTATTTGGCTAGGTCCTGGCGATCTCATTGGGAATTGTTGTGGGGGCTGCTGAAGGTCAGTGTCATCCACATAGCGCTTATGAAATAGGAAGTTCTACTGATGTGGGACTCGAAGATTGTGGACAACAAGAATCCTTGTCTAAAGAAAGCTCTCAAGGCTCCTTATTTCTCCAAGGTTCGCGCTTTTGCGTGGGGAAGTTACAAAGTTTATAATCTTGCATTCACTATTAAATGTCATTTATCTAAACTAGAGTAATGGCTAAAGTCACGTTGTTGTTCTTTGCAGCCTCAATATGCTACAAGATAGAGAATCATCTTCATATCAAAGTTTTTGATATTGTTCTTCGGTACAAGTGAGCAAAGACTTCTAAGTTTTAATGTATTTGGATTCTGATGTGTGATGATGTTGTGATCTTCACACACATATGTTTCACCACTTCATGGGTTGTTATTTATTCAGGGGAAATAATTAGAGTGGGTGCTGATGAATGCACATTTGGCTGATCATCGTACCCAAGTGAAACTTGAGATGAGTAGTTTTGGAGCTAAATAATTAGCTACAGTTTGAAATGTTAATCAAGTAAGCTGAAAAAGCGAACAATATTCTTGTGAATAAGTGTTAAGTATAGAAGAGGAGGTAAGTTGGAGTTTCCATTGCCTGTTATAGAATTAGGAACCAAGTCGGAATCTTTATTGCCTATTATGGTAGAAGATAATTAAGTGACTATGGTTTCGAGAGATAAACTTATTTGGTGTTGGCTTTCAGGTGAGGGTTTCTTAGTTTCTAGAGATCAACTTATTTGGCGTGGCTTTCAGGTGAGGTAGAAAGAAACCATGAAGGCTGACACTTTTGTTCACGGGGTTTAGGACTTGACTCGCTCTAAACTACACCGCGAATTAATCCCAACTAGAGACCAAGTTTTTAAACTCTAGCCGGGTTCAGTATAGGACAAGTATTTAAGTCAAACCCGAGCCGGTCCATGTACCCCTACTTCAATCTCTTAGGTTGTTATCTAGAAAACGGTTTTGGGTTTTTAAAGCTAAGGAAACTAAAAACTGAAAACAAGCAAGAAAGTAAATCGAGGTTGTCCCAATGAGAGAAGAATTCACCCGGGTATCGCTCCCCCTAACCTCATATCAAGATCGACCAAATCGAATGCAAATGTGTGAAGGTGTGTTATACACCGTTAGGAGGGCACAATAACACCCAAGTTAAAGTGCTAAATCGAAGGTTGAGGTTTTCCCTAATTCACCCTAGTTAGGTGGGTCAATTGGCCAAGGAATCCCGCTTATCAAAGCCTCCTAACAAAAAGGTGGTTTCCCTCTAACTAGGTCAAATTGGCATAGTAATGAGAAATGAAGAACACAACTCAAACATCATGAAAATAACTCAAACTTTGCATTAAACACAAACCCACATACAAAGCATTCATTTAATACAATCTATCACATATTCCAAGCTAGGGTTCACAACACCCAAGTGAATAGGTAGGCTATTCCATAGCTAGGCAAAGGGAAACAAGAAAAAAGAGAGAAAGAACCCTGAAGAGATGACAATATTCCTTCCTCCTTGCTTGAATCTCACTTGAGAGGTAAGAATCCTCACTCCTCTAGCTTAGGGCAAGCCCAAATCTCCTTCTTCCTCCTTTGAATGACACTTTCTCTCTCTAGCTTTGAAGAAGAAATCCTAATCTATCAGTAGAAACTCTATTTTATTCTACAAACTAAAAAACTACCAAAAGCTCTCCCTTTCTCTTTCAGCTCACTTCCCATTTTATACCCAGATCGACGCATGTTCACGGTCCTAGTTCACGGTCGTGAACATTCATCCCGGACCGTGAAGTCGAGCATATTCGCACCGTTTCACTAAGTCACTTCACGGTCTGGGGCTGGAGTTGACGGTCGCATCCAGTGAGATGCGTTAACCGTTCTGCAACTTCGGCAATTCACGGTCACGATGCAATTGTCACGGTTGTTACTTTGGACTTTTCTTTTCTTTTTGCGCTTTTCAACCTTCAATCAACACGAAACTCGTCCTCGACCTTCCCACACGTGCTAGGACCTGAAATGTAATAAAACAAGCACAATCTAGCGTAAAATAGGTCAAGAGATTATGAAATGCAAAGTCAAACTATCAAGAAATGAGAGGCAAAATGTGTACAATTAGACCCGAATCAGGATTGAAGTTACAACTCAACTCTCTATAGCAAGGTTTGCCAGGCGAGCATGTGATGATTCCTTAATCATGATATGCTCACTTAATGTAAGAACATATACTCTGTGCATAACTGACATTGTTTGATTATGTGTTTTTTGAACCCTTCAGTCTACATCCATTCACCTAATTTTACCAATATGAGAATTTGTATCAATCTGTTTAACAAACTATTTTCTTTCATTACTGTTAGTGTAGCTATAGATATAGGTTGAAAATGATCAAATTTGTGGAGAAGATAAGAATAAACGTTTTGAATGGGGCATAATGTATCAAAATGGGTGCATGTGCAGCTCGTGGATTAGCTTATCTACACTTAGACTGTAATTACATTTTATCTCTTATTCCTTTTTGTGTATATTAGTATTCAGACTATGAGATCCGAGATTATTTTAGTTTACTCTATGAGATGAATATATTCATGTTGGCTTCTGTTATTTACCATTATCCTCCATAGGTGAGCTACCTTCTTTCGGTCCTTTGGAGCTACCTTATCATGGTTGATTTATAGTTAGTTTATTTATTCCTTCTTTCCTGGGCCAACTTGATATAGGGGTATTGGAAGAATGTTGAAACAGAGATTGTGAAGTGGTCAGACATTAGTGAGATTAGTGGTTTCAATTATAACATCATAGTCTTACTTTGCCACAAAAGAATTCTGATAAAATTATTTTTGTTACATGTTGTCCTACTTTGCCTACATTCACCATCGATTTCATTCATGTTTACTTCCATGTATTAGTTTTAGGTATTTACATATCTAGCGCCTTGATTCTTGTTTTCATCATCTAGTAGGTGGAAATAGGGCTTGAAGAGCATATTAGGCTCTCTTGTGCTAGCTGAGACCATTCCTCCTGATGATCAAAATCAGTGTCTAGAAGACTGGCTAAAAGGTAAGTCTCTGTCATGTTCAAACTTTTGTTGGGATTTTGGCATGAATATGTATATGGATGGCATTAGTTCATCTATTGTCATCTTTTGGGTATTCGGTCATACTTTTTACTCATATTAAATTGTGTTTTTCCATGTTGATAATATCTGAAGCTTTCTATAGTTATTAGCGTAAATATGTGTTGTTTCTTACTAATGATGAGCATATCGATACACCAAATGTTTTGTAGGTTTCCTTGTTTGCTCATGCATGTAAATTTTGGGGAAAGCATATAACAGTTTAAGAAGATTTGAGGTGTTTCTAGGTAGTTGTCAAGAAGTATGTAGATTGTAATATATAGTATATTTCCTTGCCTCTTGAAAAATTGTGTCTGAAATATACGACCTAATTTTAAGTTTCTTACTATATTTTGTCAGGATTAGAAGACTTGAAGATTCGGGAGTTGATAGATATTTCAGCTACTCAAGAAAATCTTGTAGAATCATAGACCAAAAATTTAATAATTTTAGATGCTTTGGGCACACTAATTGGATTTGCATTGGTTTTCGAGAGATTCATGTTACAATAATTAGTCTTTTTAATTATATGTTGATTAACATTGATCAATAAATTTTATTGACAATTATGTTAAAATCTCATGCTATAAGAGTTGTTCTTTTTAATTGTATGTTTTTTGTATCATAGAAATGACTAGGTATTGATAATTATTTATAGTAAAATACTGTGACCAATTGTCAGTATCTAGAAATGGTAGAACAAACCAAATATCGTGACTAAGCATTGCCATCTAGTCATGAAAATGATTTGGTCATCGTAAATACAGAGTTAAAAGGTGTACATCTCGTCTCTAAATGAGTTTCTTTTTTCCTAGTTGTGTGGCAATATTTGGTATTAGTCGGGGTTCCCCGTGATTAATAGGTACAACTTATCATGGGAAAACATACCGTGACTAGCTAACTAGTCATGGTACAAATTTCCCGTTACCTTTACAATTAGATACGAATGTATATATTGCGATAATTTTCCCGTAACTAAAACTATTAAACACAGGAAACACACTTTCAAACACGAGAGTTACCGTAATTAAATGATCTTTGTTCTTTAGTGGGAGACGAAAGGGTAAACAGAATCAACGGTTAATATCTAAACTTGAAATGAATTGACGGGGATCTGCATGATCAACATGAAGCTTATAGTAGACCCACTCACACACGATTGACCCTCTTAAACATACTGACTCGTCACGAATACCACAATAAAACTCCCAATTAAGGCCCAAGTATAAACCTTAACTAGATGTCGTATAGGGCAAGTATGTTTAAATATCGACCCGGGCTGGTTCATGTACCCCTACTTCGATTGTTTGAAATATTATCTAGCGGTTGATTTTTGGTGAAAACAATAATCTATAGCTAAAACGTTTGCAAAGGTAAATGGATGTGACACTAATTGAGAAGGCTTCACCTGGATGTTTCTCCCCCTAGCTAGCAATTACGACTTGTTGGATCGAATGGTCGTGTGTGGTAAGGGGGTTGCAAACCGTAGGGAAGTGCAACATCTAGCCAAGTGCCACTCTCTCTGTCTTTAGGTCGAGGGAAGGAAATTTGGTTCAAGCCACCAATGTGACTCTCTCGACCTATTGACTAAGGGTTGGTTAGACTTCACCTTTGAATTGGAGTTTGGACGGCCACCCACTACCAAGCCTAGGTGCTAATAGGAAATAAGAGGTTTACCCTGCATTAACCTAGATAAGAGACAATGAATCGCCTAAGAAAACCCAACATTCAAGCCTCTTTAAAGAAAGAAGGGGATTTTTCTCTCTACCTAGGTTAGAAAGGCAGTTAGATTGATTGGCTTTCACACAACACAATCATTCATGAATAATACCTCCACATTCATATTTTTCAGAACAGAAGCGTGGCAATCGATAATCCAAACCAACACGAACGAACAAAAATTTAACGTGGTTCACTAACACAATGCGTGCTAGCTAATCCACGGGCAGGGGAGAACAAATTTCACTGATTTGAGGAGAGTACAGGTTACAAACCAAATTCCAAACGGACAAACCAAACAAACTAACCTGACTGGCCTTACTACAGACTAGGGTGATGAAGAGTATTTATAGAACTCTTCTCCTAATCCCAAACAGAAAACCAAACACCTTTTCCCAAACATAAAAGGAAAAGGTCAAACAAAGCCCAAACTCAAAACAAACCCAAATCAAATTCAAGTCATATTCTAACAATCTCCACCTTGACTTGAATTCTCTGTCAAATCCCAGATGTACCAAATGCAACCAAAGTTTCCAAATGTACCCAGACACAACCAAAGTTGCCAGATGTACCAGATGTGATCGAAATCAACAAACTCAAACGCGATGCAAATCGCCAAACTCAGATGCAATCAAGATTGCCAGACATACCAAACTCCTCCAAATCAGCTGTACCAGAATCTCCCCTGCCTCCAAATGCCCCTAAGGGCGGTCAACAACTCAAAACATGCAGCAAGTCCAACCCATGTTGGGACTTGCCATGCAGAACCAACTTAGTGTTATTTCCATCGATAACACCAACATCATATTTACTTCCAACTCCAAACCAGATAGCGGCAGAGCGCTCATATGCTACACGATACCAACGCAAGCAGTGACTTGTGGCTTCAAACTCAAATCAACCGACAAAGATTCCAACGCCAATTCCCTTTGAATTACATCGAGAACCAACTCTGATACCACTTGTCTGTAACAATCTACCTTCCCTGTGGTCGTTTGGCTAGCTCCCAAGTCTGATTCCTGTCATGGGATTCCATCTCATCTCCCATTGCGGCAAGCCACTGATCAACTTTGCCACCCGAAATGGCTTCTCTATAGGACTGTGGCTCACCTGCATCCACTTCTTCAGCAACCTGAAATGAATACGCCACCATGTCCTCGAAACCATACCTCTCTGGAGGTACTCCTGCAGTCGCTCTCTTTGGTCTACCGGAAGCTATAGATTGTTGAGCTCCTGCACTGGACTCTGAAGTTTCTGGCTCTGCAGAGACATTCTCATCATGTTGATCTTCTCCACCTTGGTGCTCAAACTCACTCTCTTTGAGAGTTTGCAGCTCCACCTGCTTATCAACATTCCTGCTACCTTCAACAACAGTAACCTTCAACATGGGGTTAAACATAGACTTTTCATCAAATATCACATTTCTACTGAGTATAACTCGACGCTCAGAAGGTGACCAGACTCGAAATCCCTTAACTCCATCTCCGTAACCCACAAATACACCATTCTTTGCCCTTGGGTTCAGTTTACCCTCATCCACATGATAATAAAAAGGACACCCAAAAACTTTCAGTGAAGAGTAATCAGCATGCTTACCATACCACACCTCATAAGGAGTCTTCAACTTGATACCTGTGTGAGGTCCACGGTTGATCAGGAAGCACGCCATGTTCAGTGCTTCTGCCCAGAATCTTCTCTCTAGTCCAGCATTAGAGAGCACGCACCGTGCTCTCTCCAACAACGTCTGGTTCATCCTTTCTGCAACGCCATTCTGCTGGGGTGTATCTCTCACGGTCCGATGACGGGCAATCCCTTCATCCTTGCAGAATTCGTTGAACTGAGAATTACAGAACTCCAGACCATTGTCCGTTCGCAGCTTCTTGATCTTCTTCCCGGTCTGATTCTCCACCAATGTCTTCCACTGCTTGAACTTCGTGAAAGCCTCACTTTTCTGCTTCATCATGAAAATCCAAGTAAATATCGAATAATCATCAATAATAGATAGAAAATACATGCTGCCTCCAATGGATTCAACTCGTGAAGGACCCCAACAGTCGGAGTGGAGGTAATCTAGTATCCCCTTCGTCCGGTGGATACTCTTCTGGGGAAACTTGCTGCAATGTAGCTTCCCAAACACACAATGCTCGCAGAATTCCAAATTCTGCACCTTGTGCCCGCAAAGAAGATCCCTCTTCGACAGAACTTGCATCCCCCGTTCACTCATATGCCCCAGCCTCATGTGCCAGAGAGTGGTCATATCTTCCTGATGAACCTGAGACGATGCAACTGCAGCAGAACCAGACAACACAGACCCTTGTAATGCATACAAGGTCCCACGCTTCACGCCCTTCAGTACCTTCCTTGAACCTTTGCAGACATACACAACTCCACCTTTTCCTTTGAAACTGAAACCCTTGCTGTCGAGTAGACTCAAGGAGATCAGGTTCTTTGTCATTCGTGGAACATGCCTGAAAACATTCACGGTACAGAACGAACCATCATGTGCCCGAACCTTTATGGACCCGAGTCCAACAACCTTGCAGACAGCTCCATTTCAACAACAACCTTGCATACAGGAATCAGATAGCGGCACAACGCTCCGATGCTACACGATACCAACGCAAGCAGTGACTTGTGGCTTCAAACTCAAATCAACCGACAAAGATTCCAACGCCAATTCCCTTTGAATTACATCGAGAACCAGCTCTGATACCACTTGTCTGTAACAATCTTCCTTCCCTGTGGTCGTTTGACTAGCTCCCAAGTCTGATTCCTGTCATGGGATTCCATCTCATCTCCCATTGCGGCAAGCCACTGATCAACTTTGCCACCCGAAATGGCTTCTCTATAGGACTGTGGCTCACCTGCATCCACTTCTTCAGCAACCTGAAATGAATACGCCACCATGTCCTCGAAACCATACCTCTCTGGAGGTACTCCTGCAGTCGCTCTCTTTGGTCTACCGGAAGCTATAGACTGTTGAGCTCCTGCACTGGACTCTGAAGTTTCTGGCTCTGCAGAGACATTCTCATCATGTTGATCTTCTCCACCTTGGTGCTCAAACTCACTCTCTTTGAGAGTTTGCAGCTCCACCTGCTTATCAACATTCCTGCTACCTTCAACAACAGTAACCTTCAACATGGGGTTAAACATAGACTTTTCATCAAATATCACATTTCTACTGAGTATAACTCGACGCTCAGAAGGTGACCAGACTCGAAATCCCTTAACTCCATCTCCGTAACCCACAAATACACCATTCTTTGCCCTTGGGTTCAGTTTACCCTCATCCACATGATAATAAACAGGACACCCAAAAACTTTCAGTGAAGAGTAATCAGCATGCTTACCATACCACACCTCATAAGGAGTCTTCAAATTGATACCTGTGTGAGGTCCACGGTTGATCAGGAAGCACGCCATGTTCAGTGCTTCTGCCCAGAATCTTCTCTCTAGTCCAGCATTAGAGAGCACGCACCGTGCTCTCTCCAACAATGTCTGGTTCATCCTTTCTGCAACGCCATTCTGCTGGGGTGTATCTCTCACGGTCTGATGACGGGCAATCCCTTCATCCTTGCAGAATTCGTTGAACTGAGAATTACAGAACTCCAGACCATTGTCCGTTCGCAGCTTCTTGATCTTCTTCCCGGTCTGATTCTCCACCAATGTCTTCCACTGCTTGAACTTCGTGAAAGCCTCACTTTTCTGCTTCATCATGAAAATCCAAGTAAATATCGAATAATCATCAATAATAGATAGAAAATACATGCTGCCTCCAATGGATTCAACTCGTGAAGGACCCCAACAGTCGGAGTGGAGGTAATCTAGTATCCCCTTCGTCCGGTGGAT